GGTCTTAGAGGAGTGGCATTCAGATTGTGATGGGGATCCCCGAGGAGGGTGCCGAGACTTCCCAGGGGTACAGTGGACGTGTGTGGGGGAGTGAAGGGGTGGCAGACAGAACGTTATAAAGGATCAGTTTCCAAATCCTTCACTTCCTTAAGTTGATCTGCCTAAGATGCTACTTGGGGCGAGTTGCCATTCTCTTTTCCTCTCTCTCACCTCTGTATCCCCATTCTCCTAACTTTACGTAAACCTCTCACATAGCCTGAATCTTTCTAAGGTGCATTTCTTGGAAAAGATTCAAACAAAGGGGCAATTCAACAGATTTTTAAACCAAGGCTTCATAAACATGATTCCCCCCACCCCAATCCATACCATTAAGAGATACCTTTCCAATTAAATTTTACCTTTTATTTGTAATGGTTTTATGTAAAAATTTATACCTTATTTGTTGTTTGGATCCATTATGTGCTCATAATAGCTGTATTGATAATTCAATCCAGATGATTAAAAAAATTGGGGCCTTATGGTCAAAGAAATTTAATTGAAAGGTAATTTCAATATAAATGTGTGTGCTTGTTTGTGTAAGTTTACTTCAGAGAAGTATAATAGAGTGATCAAGAAAAGATTTCTGAGCCCTGACCGGTTTGGCTCAGTGGATAGAATGTCGGCCTGCAGACTGAAAGGTCCCAGGTTCGATTCCAGTCAAGTGCATGTATCTTGGTTGCAGGCACATGCCCAGTAGGAGGTGTGCAGGAGGCAGCTGATTGATGTTTCTAACTCTCTATCCCTCTCCCTTCCTCTCTGTAAAAAAATCAATAAACATATATTAAAAAACAAGATTTCTGAGATTCAAAGAAGGATAAAATTCTGTGAAGAAAGTAGAAAGGAAATACAAATTCTTTTGTTTTAAATATTTTATTTTAGAAGAATACGAGGTATCAATATAGTATGCTTTTAATGTTACATGGGATACATTTGAAAGATTGATTTAAATTTCATTTTAGAAAGTCAATATTTATAACAGCATAAATTATACTAGTGTACTTTGTAACTAAAACTTATGAAAATTTTCATATAACTTAAATATGCAGAAGACACCACTTATTTGTTAAATATTTTAGGGGGCATATGAGCACAAATGTTTGAAGACTACTGCTTTATATCATGCTTTCTAAAAAAAGAACTTCTGAGTTTTAGATTACATTAGACTTGAGAAAACATTTTTACTCTTTTTATTTATTTACAATGGAATTTAATTATTTTCTTTTATTTTGTATTGAAGTGTTTGAAAGTGTGTGTATGTTTTCTAATGTCAAAATAAATGGTGTTGGCCTTAACAACTAACCACTTGATGACATTTTGGAGAAGTTGCAAGCAAATGAATATGGACAAATACATCATTAAGCTGCTCAAAATTTTCACCCTGGCCAGGGTGGCTCAGTTGGTTGAGCATCATCCAATCCACCAAAAGGTCGCCGGTTCGATTCCAGTCAGGGTACCTGCCCAGGTTTTGGAGTCCCCACTAGGGGGTATTAGGCAGCCGATTGATCATCAATATAAATGATCTTTAAAATTGCTCAAAAGTTTCACCTGGAAATATAGAGAACTTGCTGTATTTAATACTTCTGTATGTTCCAATGGTGCTAATTATCTGCCATTAAAATGCTTGAATTAGTGGAGACATAGTTTGAGAATCTTCTGGAGAATCAGTATTATTTTTCTAAGGAAACAAATGTCCAGATCCTTAATTTAATGCAAACTTTAGTGTCTTTAAGTTATGACTATGAAATGGTTGGTAGGAAATAGAGTGAAAAGTTTAATATTTCTTTCTTTACTAATTGAGCCATTTCATTTTTCTTTCAGTTCCTAAGTTCTCATTCTATTCTCAAACAAAGTATGTTATTTCTATAATTATATTCATATTATATATTCATCACAGATATTTTTAAATGTATAATATATAAAGAATAAAAATCACCTGTACAAAACAACTAACAGTTTGCTATCTTTTTCCCAGTGTTCTTCCTTTATAAATGTACATTTTAAAATTCTGTTTTTTAAAATATTGAATTTATTGGGGTAACATTGGTTAATACATTTATAGAGGTTTCAAGTGTACAATTGTATGATACATTATCTGTGTATTGTGTGTTCGCCACCCAGTGTCAAGTCTCCTTTCGTCACCATTTATCCCCCTTTACCTTCTTCTACTGACCGTACCTCCCCCAGGTAATCACCATATTGTTGTCTGTGTCTATGAGTTTTTTTTTCTTAGTCCCTTCACCTATTTCACCCAGCCTCCCAACTCCCATCGCTTCTGACAGCTGTCAGGCTGTTCTTTGTGTTTTGTAAGGTTGTTTTGGCCATTAGATTCCACCTGCAAGTGAAATCATATGGTACTTGTCTTTCTCTGACTGGCTTATTTCACTTAGCGTAATACTCTCCAGATTCATCCATGCTGTGGCAAAAGGTGAGATTTCCTTTTTTTTTTTTTTTTTTTTTTTTTATGGTCGAGTAGTATCCCGTTGTGTAAAGGTACCACAGCTTTTTTTTTTTTTTTTTAATTTATTCTGATGGGCACTTGGGCTGCTTCTAAATCCTGGCTATTGTATTTTGAACAATAATACATACAGTGGCAGAGCTGCCTCAAACAGATTGTCAAACTGCAGCGGGAAGGCCGGGGAGGGTTGGGGGGCAGGAGGTAGCGGGGTAAGAGATCAACTAAAGGACTTGTATGCATGCATATAAGCATAACCAATGGACATAAGACACTGGGGGATAGGGGAGGCTAGGGGACTGTCTAGGGCCGGGGGATAAAATGGACACATATGTAATACCCTTTGTAATACTTTAAGCAATAAAAAAATAAAAATAAAAAAATAATAAAATAAAATGTAAAAAAAAAAAAAAAATCCTGGCTATTGTAAATAGCACTGCAATTCCCTACAGAAACAGTCAAAACCTAGAAACAGTAAAAAAATCTAAAATCCAAACTTCAAAGGGAGTAAGTGGGAATAAATGAAAAAACATGTCAAGGCAGTGTATATTTTATGAAACATATATTGTTATTTCTCAACATTTTTGGAAGGACATCACATAGAGCAGTATTATTTTCCAAACATATTTGAGCACAGGATCAGTAATATATTAATACTAGAGGCCCGGTGCACGAAATTCGTGCATAGGTAGGGTCCCTAGGCCTGGCTGGCCATCAAGGCCAATTGGGGCCTTCCGACTGCTGGCTGGAGCGTCCTTTGTTCTGCACCGCCCCCTGGTGGTCAACTCATGTCATAGTGAGCAATCAGTCTCCAGGTCAAACTCCCAAGGGGACACTTTGCATAGATATCACAGAGTAATGATGCTATAGAAGGAATAAATGAGAGTTCATGTTCAAGAACTAAGGAAAAGTATTTAGATATGACTTTTCAAGAGTGTGACCATTAGTAACTAGCTTCGATTAATCATGTCTTAAATTCCCCTGGCTTAGATAATACTCACTTGATTCATGAGTCCAGTATAGGGAGCCCGTGAGAAGGTGCCAACATATCTTAGGGATTTACAGTTTGGTGCTGAAAAAACAGATATCCATACATTTGAAAACACATATTTTATCTGAATGGGGTGGGGGTTAAGTTTGGAAAGAATTTCTCAGGAAGACCTGAGAAAGATCAATGCCTTTGGCCAAGAGGGTGGGAACATCATAGGAGATATATAAAATGGCCTTAGAAGCAGAGAGGCATGGTGGGGTGCAGAAAGCATATTGGCTTGCTTAGAGTAGGGCACCATAGGAAAAGACATTTTAGGAGGGAGATCTGATGTTAGCCAGAGTTTAGATTTGATAGAAAGGCAGCAGGACAACTGTCAATTCTTTATTTTTAAATATATTTTTTATTGATTTCAGAGAGGAAGGGAGAGGGAGAGAGAGATAGAAACATTAATGATGAGAGAGAACCATTGATTGGCTGCCTCCTGCACGCCCGCAACCCAGGCATCGAACCTGGAATTGAACCAGGAATCAAACAGTGACCTCCTGGTTCAGAGGTTGGTGCTCAACCACTGAGCAACCCAGGCCGGGGCCATTGTCAATTCTTGAGTGCGCTGGGCGAGGCCACAGGCTCAGGTGAGGGATTGCACGTATTTGCCTGAAACTGGCTACTGTTGCATACAGTACATGCTATACATGCTAGATAATACAAGTCAACAAATCAATAGCCGCAGAACATGGTAAAAGGGAAAACCGGAGGGGGAATATGTCTGAGGCAATAATTTCATGAGAGTTTTGGCTCTATGGCCCAAATGGTGGTGCTTTGTAACTTTCCAGGGACTCAAAAAGCACCAAGGAGAACTGAAGAAAGGAATAAAGTAGAAAGAAGAGAATACTGAACAGTGGCCTCCAGGCGAGAAAATACCAAGTGCCTCAATTATTTGAAAATGAGGGCTATGCCCCAATGGCAATTATATGCGGCAATGGCCCAAAGCCCATACCTATTTTTATAGGGACCCTTGGGCTGCAGTAACAGCTTAAATACGCTGTTGAAAAGTTCTAAGTCAGCAGAACGAGCACACACTCCAACCTCCAAATCGCTCCAGGGAGCTCGCGAATCCCCAAAGGCCCAGGGGAAGGTTTGCAGCCTTTGGAAGACGCATGCTTGCAATTTCATCTGCCCGAAGGCGCCAACCTACCCGAGGCAACTAATGACGTTTCCCTTCCCACGATGCTGGGCTTTGGGGCTCACGAAACACTCAAACATTGACCGGGCGCCTTTCCTGCTCGATGGACCCTGCCTGACACGCACGCGAGTTTCCCAGCGGGGACCGAGGGCACCTGAGGCCCGGGGCCGGGAAACGAGGGGGGCGACCAGGCCTTCAGGGGGAGCAACCAGCCCTGAAGCCCCAGTGACAGATTCGGCCCCGAGACAGCGACTCCCACCGGCCCCACGACGCCCGCGCAGGCGCACAACGGCGTGCCCGACGCCGGAAGTGTCCCCCGGCGCCCCGGATGCGACCGGTTGCCAGGGCGACGGGAGCTTCCAAGAGCCGCTGGTACTGGCAATTAGCGACTCCAGAAAGAGTTCCCGGCGGCGGGCCTTGGCGGCTGGGGTCGTGCCCTCGGGCCTCCAGGATGTTCTTTTATCTGAGCAAGAGAGTGAGTGTTCCAGGGCGCCCGCGCTTCTCCGTCCCCGCCTCTGCTCGCATCTGTCTCGGTCGCGGCTCCTGCATCCCTCCTGGTCCCGCATCCGACCTCCTCCCGCCGGTCCCCAGAGTCCCGGGCGCGCCCAGCCGCCCTCCCGTGCGACCCTCTGCCAGAGCGGCCCCAGGCGGGCTCTTTAGCGGGGCCAGCTGGGCAGATCAGTGGGTGCTTCCCCAGCGTGGCTCCTCCAGCTGCTGCTGAGCCAGGTGACTTAGATTCTTTGGGCCATCATGGGCCTCCGGGGAAGAGAAGAATTGCAAAGGGGTAGCTTAGGTATGTGTGTGGAAAGGGAACGTGGACGGAGGGTGTGCATTGCCATCTCCGTGCCCTTTTAAAAGCCCGCCAGGCGACTCCCGCGTTGGGCTCCTCCGCTGTGTGTGCCCTTGTTGGTGGGCACGTCTCTCTCTCTTTCCCAGCGGGTAGCGCCCAGCACAGTTCAGGGACTACACTACGCCCATTTTCTTGGGGGGATTTTCTTCAGCCTTGGAGCTCCCGTAGACTGCCTTTTCACCTCCTTCGTAAGAAGTTGTGAGCGGCGCTGGTTGCTTTTCAGATCGCCATTCCCAATAACGTGAAGCTGAAATGTATCTCTTGGAACAAGGACCAAGGATTCATCGCGTGTGGGGGCGAAGATGGATTACTGAAGGTGTTGAAGTTAGAGGCACAGACGGGTAGGTGAATGAATGCAAGCCCACATGCTTGAACTTGATGGCAAATCGGCTTGAGATTTGCCCAAGTTATTGTCAGTATGCAATTTTAATTGTTTTTAAAAGGGGAGGAACAAAACCCCAAACATTTCATGGTGCCTTTCTAGAGGATTTTTGCAGGAAAGTTCAGAGAATATTGAAAGGAAAGGTCAGATGGCTTTTGCTGAAGTTATTGATGGAAAGTGAAAAAGAATTTGGCCTCTGATATTAATTTAATCTCTCAATTTTTTGGGTTCCTTAACTGTCTTAAAAGAAAATTTCTTTCTGTTATGTTTCTCAAACACATATACACATATGTATGTATATTATATATACTTTTAAATCTTGCTTAACATATGCAGGAAGTTTTAGTTGCATTAAGAAATACATTCATGCCGAAACCGGTTTGGCTCAGTGGATAGAGCGTCGGCCTGCGGACTGAAAGGTCCCAGGTTTGATTCAGGTCAAGGGCATGTACCTGGGTTGCGGGCACATCCCCAGTAGGGGGTGTGCAGGAGGCGGCTGATCGATGTTTCTCTCTCATCGATGTTTCTGGCTCTCTATCTCTCTCCCTTCCTCTCTGTAAAAAATCAATAAAATATATTTAAAAAAAAAAAAAAAGGAATATATTCATGGCCCTGGCCAGGTAGCTCAGTTGGTTAGAGCGTTGTTGGGATACACCAAGATTGAGGGTTCAATTTCCTACCAGGGCATATACAAGAAACAACCAATGAATGCATAAAAAGGTGGAACAACAAGTCAATGTTTCTCTCTCTTTTCCTCTCTCTAAAAGCAATAAACATATCCTCAGTTGAGGATTAAAAAAAAAAAAAGTGTATTCTTGTCTTGTCCGAGACAACAACTGGATAATTAAAAGTAGTGGTTTTGAAGGAACTCATGTTTTTTTTCCTGACATTGCTTTCAGAGTAAAGAGTATTTTTTATAATATTTTAAGACATGTTATGTGAAAGTAGAATTTTTTAGCATCAACTTTTATAATTTCCACTGTCACAGATTTTAAAGATTTTCATAGATTTTTTATTTTTAAATGAAAGTTTTAAAAAGCTCTATTTTACATGTAACAACCAGATTTTCTAAGTGAAGATTAACTTATTGAAATGATGTATTTTAAGATTGTATGTATTATCTATAGTATGATTAGTAATCAAGAATTAACAAAATAAAAAAGCAGTCTTTAAAGGCTTCTGTTGCACTTGGGTAAAATCTAAAATTCTTATCATTTCCTACGAAGACTTCATAATTTCCCCTGTGCTTATCACACTTGCCTCATCTTGTGTCATTCTCCCTGTTCAACTAGGACTTCTTTCAGTTTGTCAAAGGCTCTACCCCTAGACCCCCAGCCTTTGCACTGGCTGTTTCCTAGCATGGAATACTTATCCCTTGTCCCTATCTCACTTTGCTATCTCCAGTTTATCCCTCAGTCTCAATTTAAATATCCTTTGTTCAGAAAGTCTTCATATATATACATTTATGTTGATATATTTATGTGTGTGTATTTAATATCTATCCCCTCAGTAGACTACAAGTTCTCTGAGGGGAGAGGCCTTAGTTATTTTGTTCATCATTTTGTATCCAGAACCTCCCACAGTGCATAGCATAGTGTAGATGTTCAATAAATATTTGCTGAATGAATGAATAAATACAAGATTCTGCAAAGTCGAGTAAAAACCAGTTTCCAAAGTCTTTGCTCCTTGGGCCCTCTTATGCTTTAGATTTTTCAATCTATATGTCATCAATATTTCTATTTGTGATCTTTTGGGAAGCAATAAGTAGTAATAATAATTACTAATTATTTAATAGACTGAGTAAACAATGTTCTTGTATACATTTTGCCAGAATAATATTTTTGCTAGGGTGTACGTATTCTTGTCCATATTTCCACCATGAGAAAAATAGATTAGAATGAGGCATACTTAAAAATAATATTTCTAATGTCATCCAGGAATAGGATCTCCTTTCAAAAAAAGCAAGAAATGTCAAAATCTTATAACCTGTCACTTACATATTTGCCGTAATAGTTTTTGTTATTGTTTTTTGTTTTTTTAGATGATGCAAAATTGAGGGGTCTTGCAGCTCCTAATAACCTTTCTATGAATCAGAATCTTGATGGTCATAGTGGTAAGTCATTTAATTTTTTAATCATATTTCATCTTTAGGCATTTAGAAACCATCTACTTAATGCAGAATTGTCATCATTTTCAATAATGGTAATACTTAAAATAATCATTGCTGTTGAGCCATAGTATAGCCTAGAGCAGGGGTGGGCAACCTTTTTGTGAGTGCGTGCCAAAACCAGCAAAATCTCTGACTCAAAATTCTTCTGCCTGCCAACCCTAATTTTCTGAGGACATGTTACGCCTACTTGATATCTCTAAAGGTGTACGTATGTGAAGAACCTTGAAGAAATAATAAAATTCATTCGAGCGACAAAAACACAGTATATGAAAAAGACATTTATTTTTAAATGTATACATGTACACTGATAGTCCGACAGAAAACTTTATGACTCCATTTGATATTATCAGTGGGACTTTTGCTGCTGCATCACTGATGACAGATTTTACATCAGGTTTATATTTCGTGACCTTCAGAGATATGCATGAGCTACTACTTTCATCCGTCAGGCTACTCCTATTACGAGACTTAACAAAATTCATCACTGAGAACAAAGATTCACAAGCGTATGTGGATGAAACCAAAACACTGGTTAGATCTAGGCAGGCAGGGAGAGTTAAGGCAGAGGCATAGAAATTGCTCTTCCCCTCTCTCATCAATCCATGTCTATGGTCTTTAAAGATAACTTGTTATGTAAAATTATTTATTTATCTAAGATGCACCTACACTGAATTTATCTGAAAAATAAAAAAGTCGATATTAAGAAAAAAATTGTAAATGGAAGATTATAAGAGAGGGTTTTGCGTGCCAGCAAAAGTTACTGGCATGCCATGTTTGGCACGCGTGCCAAGGGTTGCCCACCCCTGGCCTAGCGTCATTCAACAACTTTTACATTACATGATTAATCAACATACTCAATAAATCTGAAAAAAGTAGCTGTTATTTTATATATTAGAAAATACTGTATCTGTCTATGGGTAGGATACAATCTTTTTTGAGAATTTGTCCCATGGTTCCAGATTAAAGTAGACTAAAGAGATGTAACAATTGAATGCACTATTATTTTTTTTAATCTTCACCTAAAAAAAAATATATGTGTGTGTATATATATATATATATATATATATATATATATATATTTTTTTTTTTTTTAGAGAGAGTGATAGAGATAGAGAGAGAGAGAGAGAAAGAAACATTGATGTGAGAAACATTAACTGATACACATCCTAACTGGGGATCAAACCCGCAACCTGGGTATGTGCCCTGACCGGGACTGGAATTGAACCCACAACTTTTTGGTGCATGGGAGGACGCTCCAACCAACTAAGCCACCTGGTCAGGGCACATCTGAATGCAATATTAATTTAGATTGGATCTTGGAATGAGAAAAACAAGTATCTATAAAGGACATTATTTAGACAATTGATAAAATTTGAATATGGAATGTGGGTTAGAGAATAATATTGTATCATTGTTAAATTTCCTAAGTTGTAATGTGGTTATGAAAGACAATGTCCTTATTCTTAAGAAATATACACTAAAATATTTAGGGATTACAAAAACTAAAACAGAAAAAGAAAAAGTCAATTGTTCATATAGCCCAGAGGTTTAAGATCTGCTCACAAGTATGTTACTAATAGAATGGAAAACAAGGGGCAGTGGGGAAGAGTGATTAGGGGACATAACCACAAACAACACCCCCCCCCCCAAAAAAAGTAAAAACCCCAAACAACTAAGTACTTAGTATGATGTCCTTCGGGCATTATAGTCCTTGGGAGTCTGGCCAGTTCAGTAAAACTTACATTTGTTTCTGTCATCAGCTGTATGGCAGCTCTTGCAAACTGACCATAACAGGTGCTTTGCTGGCATGAAATAGGAACAAACATGAAATAGTATTGCCCATTCTTGTAAAAAATGAGTGATAATAGTAACTGTATCCTATGAATATTTTAAAAAATATATTTTTATTGATTTCAGAGAGGAAGGGAGGGGGAGAAAGAGATAGAAACATCAGTGATGAGAGAGAATCATTGATTGGTTGCCTCCTGCACACCCCCTACTGGGGATCAAGCCCACAGCCTGGCATGCGCCCTGAAAGGGAGTGGAACTGTGACCTCCTGCTTCATAGGTCGAAACTCAACAACTAAGTCACACTGGCCAGGCTCCTATGAACATTTTTGACTAATATTAAGGCTGGGTAGTTGGACAGGAACTGTACTGATTTTAACATGCTCTTTGGCGTTTTTTATAAAAATATGTATGAAGTTAATTATACCTTTTTTGTAGTTTCTAAATTGTTTTATATTTTTTTAGGTTGTGTTCAAGTCGTCACATGGAATGAACAATATCAGAAGTTGACTACCAGTGATCAAAATGGGCTTATCATTGTTTGGATGTTTTATAAAGGTATATTAGGAGAGTTTATTTAATCTTTCACAAAGTGGAGTCTGGATTACAGTATTTGAATGGGGAAATAATGTCTTTGAAATAGACCCCTTTTAACCAGCAACAGGAGTTCGTTCTGACTGTACAGGAGTGATATTTCTGGACTTATTTCTCTCTACTTTCCTCTTTAATTTCCTTTCCTTTGAACTGTGACCTTGGATTAGGAAAGTGAATGAACTGACTGTTGAGAGTGCCTGTTGGTTATCTCCAAAATTAACTTAGACTCTTAGCAGAATAGTTTCTGCTTGAGGTAGCTCTTGTTTCTCCAGGTTTCCAATAAGAATTAGTTCCTATGTGGCCAGTGACTAGAGTTAGGTCAGTAGATAAAAACACATTTATTAAGAAGTCAAAGGCAATAATAAAAAAAGGTGGGAATTTATTGTGTTTTCTGAGATGATCTTAGTCAAGGTCTAAGTTAATTTTTCATTTTGTTTATGTTGGATTTGAGGGTTTTATAGTTTAATGTCTCATGTTGTAGAGAACTTTGCGGTTATTTATTTCACATTGTATTCCATGGGATGTTTTCAAATCTTCAGCACCATCTAATAGATGTGGAAGTTTTGACTTGTACTTTTTATTTGTGCAAATAGGCTCTTGGTATGAGGAAATGATCAACAATAGAAATAAATCCGTGGTTCGCAGCATGAGCTGGACTGCAGATGGACAGAAGATCTGCATTGTGTATGAAGACGGGGCTGTGATAGTCGGTTCAGTGGATGGTAATGCCTTATCGCACCCAGAACTGAGATTGAGACTTAGTTGATGTTTTTATCTTTAGAGGTTTAAATTACTTACTATATGTTAGTCTTCTGACAGAAAAGTAACATAAAAAGAGAAAACAGTTGGCATATAATTTGATGACATTCCAGAATCATTTATTTTTAATTATATTCAAATAAGACAGTCTATTTAAAAATTTTTTTTATAGTGGCGCTAAAAAAAAGTGAATTCAATTTTCAGGATTATTTTAAATATGTCTGCCTAATTATATAATTTACCTTTATACTTGAACTTTTAATGAAATAATTATGTTGTATGTTTTGTTTTAGGGAATCGCATTTGGGGAAAAGACTTGAAGGGTGTACAGTTATGGCATGTAGCATGGTCTGCAGATGGTAAAGCCTTACTTTTTGGAATGGCAAATGGAGAAATACACATTTATGATAGTCAAGGGAATTTTATAGTAAGTATATACCCATATATTCATTAGTTTTATTTATATAATTTTATATGATTATTTTACGTATCTGTCATATACGTATACACATTTATTTATGACTAGAGGACCCGTGCACAAAATTCGAGCACGGAGGTGGGAGGGCCCTCAGCCTGGCCTGTGCCCTCTACAGTCCGGGACCCCTCGAGGGGTGTAGCAGTGCACCAAGTGGCAGGTGGCCAGGGAGGAACCCAAACTGGGGCTGGTGCCACGCTGCTCACGCTCATCCTGGCCCACTGCGCCTACTGTGGCCGCTGCTGCTGCTCGGTAATGCTGCAGTAATGCTGCTGTGCAGTTGGGAGAGGCTCCCACCCCACAGCTGCACTCGCCAGCCATGAGCCCAGCTTCTGTCTAAGCAGCTCTCCCCCTATGGGAGTGCACTGACCACCAGGGGCAGCTCCTGCATTGGGAGTCTGCCTCCTAGTGGTCAGTGTGCATCATAGCGACCGGTTGATCGGTCATTCCTGTTCCGGTCATTCTGTTGTAAGAGTTGCTTAGACTTTTATATATATAGATGGTTTGTATAATCATGAAAGTCTTCTGTGGAAAATAGTATAGAATTTCCTCAAAAAATTAATAATGGAACTTCTTTTTTGACCTAGTGATTCCACTTCTGGAAATATATCCTGAGAAACCTGAAACATTAATTTGAAAGAATGTATGCACCCCTATGTTCATTGCAGCATTATTTACAATAGCCAAGATCTGGAAGCAGCCCAAGTGCCCATCAGTAGATGAGTGGATTAAAAAGCTGTGGTACATCTACACAATAGAATATTACTGGGTGGTAAAAAAGGAAATCTTACCTTTGCAACAGCATGCATAGACCTGGAGGGTATTATGCTACGTGAAATAAGCCAGTCAGAGAAAAGCAAATACTATATGATTTCATTTATATGTGGAATCTAATGAACAAAATGAACTGATGAACAAAATAGGAACAGAGTCAGGATGCATGGAACAGATTGACAGCTGTAGAGGGGAGGGGTGTTGGGGATGAAAGAAAGTGAAGGGATTAAGTAAAAAAACGTATGTAGGTATAATACATAGAGACAGACAACAGTGTGGTGATAGCCAGAGGGAGAGGTAGTGGGGGGTAGGCGCAGATGGGCAAAGGGGATAAGTGGGGTGGAGAGAGACTGCCTGGGAGATGGGTGCACCATGCCGTGTGCAGAGGATGCTTTGTTGAGTTGTACACTTGAAACCTTTACGGTTGTGTGAACCAATGTCACTCCAATAAATTCAATTAAAACAAAAAGAACGTCTTCAATTCAGGTTTAAATCATCTAAAAAGTTTTTTTTTTTATTAAAAAGCCACCTCTGGTTGTGTCAAGATAAATTGATGCTTCTCGTTGCCTTTTCAGGTAGCTGGAAGGGACAAGATTTCAGTGTACAGAGCTGAGGGATGATGCGTGGGAAGATGTGCAGTTTAATCGCTGTGTCTTCTCAGGCCCGAAGCCACAGTTTACATGAGATAGCACAGATATTCCTGTAGGAAGTTACTCAGGGCTGTTTGTAAAAAGAACGAAGACTTAAACAGTAAGGGACAAAAATCAGGCCTGGAAAGAAGCAAACTGTATGGGCTCAGGTGGTAACATCTCAGGAAAGCCTGGCTTTGTGGGCTTGAGCTGTGAGGATCTGATCGCGTGGGCAGCGCTGTCTTTAGTCATGGTCAGGGCATTCCATGCATCCGCTCATTAATGGAAGTGGGAATAGCAGCTTTTCTGTGACACTTTGCTATTTCCATAGTACTTCATATCCTCTTGTCATTCGAGACTCAAAAAGACTCTGAGGTTTTTTATTCTTCATGTTGCAAATGGGGAAAGCTGAAACTCAGGGGAAGTGATTTTTCCAGGGTTGGTAAACTCGTACGTGATAGAGCTTGCATTTGAAACCAGATTTTCACATCCTACTTTCTGTGTTGTTTCTACAATGCTCTGTTCTCGCTGATCTGTTCTAAAACATAGACCATTAACATGATTTTACGCAGATGAAAATGAAGCTGAACTGTTTGGTGAACGTCACTGGCGCCATCAGTATTGCTGGAATTCACTGGTACCACGGCACCGAAGGCTACGTGGAGCCCGACTGCCCCTGCCTCGCTGTTTGTTTTGACAATGGGCGGTGCCAAATAATGAGACACGAGAATGACCAAAGTATGTAATTGCTTTTTAATGTGGAGAACTACAGAATATTTAAAAATTGTCCGTAGGATGGCCAAGTTCCCTAGGCTAAGTGTTTTACCACAACTGCCTCCTTTCTTCTCTTTGACCAGACCCTGTTCTCATCGACACGAACATGTGCGTGGTCAGTATCCAGTGGAACCACACGGGCAGCGTGCTGGCGGTGGCGGGCACCCAGAAGGCCGGCCTGCAGGACAGAGATGTCAACATCGTGCAGTTCTACAACCCATTCGGGGAGGTAAATGTAGTCAAGATTTTGTCTCTTTCTTTCCATTTAAATATGCAGAGAATAAGGTACGGGAGACAGAATGGAGGAAAGGGTACACACTTGTCACATTTTTTATCAGGGACATTTTCAGTAAAAATATCAGGTGTATGTCTTTGAATGATCCTCATTATAAGTCTTCATAATTCTCTTTTCTCATGGAATTTATATCATCATCTATACATTTAGAAAACCAGATGTTTCACATGTGATCTGAATATGCATCTGTGTTTGCTGCTGGTTTTTGAATTGTTTTTGGTGTAATGTAGTTGTTTCAGATGACTTTTGTGGATTTTTAATGTGATATATTGAACATGCATAGATAATATATATGTATCTGTCTGTCCTTTCTCCAAACTTCTAATAGTTTTAACTTGTTGTGAAATAATCAATTATTTTAAGAAAAGTCTATCTTAATAATTAATCAAAGGCAATTCTACATTAAGTGATAAGCATTGTTTTTCATAAATGCATGTTATCCTTCTCAATAGTATTATTACTACATTTAATTTTCAAAAAGGAGAAGTAATATATTGCGAATTTTAAAGAATTTAGGAAATTAGAACTTATTAGTAACCAAACTTAATAAATTTTTACCTCTTTTATTTTCTAACTCTGGAATATATTCAGTCCCTTTTGGATATCCTGTTGGTTTCTTTAAATTCGCCATACACTTCAAAAATATGTATTTTTGCTACACAAAGCCTTTACCAGTTATTTTAATATTTTACTTAACAATGTGTGTTTTCTTTCTTAGTTGCACATAAAAATAAAGATGCATGTTTAAATCTCTGGCATCTTAGATTTGATAAAATTTGATACCGAATTCTTTGGATATAGTTTGTAAATTTCTCTTACCATATGTATGGTTTTTATTATAAAAATTCAAGGAAAATGATTTTGAAGTGAGTAGCACCCTTCCACAAAACAATTTTCATACCAGTTTTGATCCCTGTGAGGTGATTAGTGGTAATTCGTATTTTATTTCATCGTGATTCTTTAGGTTAAATACAACTGTATTTTCAGTCTCTAGGTACTTTGAGGGTTGCTGGAAAGCAGATATCTGCACTGTCTTGGGAAGGAGGTGGATTGAAAATTGCACTAGCTGTTGACTGTTTTATATATTTTGCAAATATTCGACCTGATTATAAGGTGAGTATTATGAGCAGTTGTCTTTTACTAAGAAAAGCTGCCTTTTACGAAATGATTTTGTTATAGCTCAAGTATAATATGTTTCTTGTATCTGTTCATAGCCTGTTTGTTTTAGAGACCAGCTAAACGGAGGCTTTTCAGTGAGAAGACCTTAGAACTAGCAAGTTTTTCCAGGAGACTATATGACTAGTAACATTACTCCAACAATCAGGGTCTCACAGGAAACAGATGGCACACTCAGAGGAGTCACTGAGGGAGAGTGATGAAGCAGCGGTTCTCAACCTGTGGGTCGCGACCCCTTTGGCGGTTGAACGACCCTTTCACGGGGTCGCCTAAGACCATCCTGCATATCAGATATTTACATTACGATTCATAACAGTAGCAACATTACAGTTATGAAGTAGCAACAAAAATAATTTCATGGTTGGGGGTCACAACATGAGGAACTGTTTTAAAGGGCCAGAAGGTTGAGAACCACTGGATGAAGGGCTTACTACAGGGGTCTGGGCAGGGTTAAGGGGACCAGTGAGGGATGGTGCAGCAAGTACCTAGAGCAGGGGTGGGCAAACTTTTTGACTCGAGGGCCACAATGGGTTCTTAAACTGGACCGGAGGCCGGAACAAAAGCATGGATGGAGTGTTTGTGTGAGCTAATATAAATTCAAAGTAAACATCATTACATTAAAGGGTACGGTCTTTTTTTTTTTTTTTTTTTAGTTTTATTCATTTCAAACGGGCCGGATCCGGCCCGCGGGCCGTAGTTTGCCCACGGCTGACCTAGAGACTAGCAACAGTGGGCAAGGTGAGGAAGTGTTCAGGAACCCACTGGCGCTGTGGCTGTGCCAGGGGACCCTCTGCGGGAGCAGAGCCACTGCCAGCTGGCAGGGCAGAGGCAGCACGGGGGTGGGAGGGAGGAAATACTTCCACCCTCTCTCCACCGCTGGGGTCTTCTCTTGGCCACACCAGAAGGCAAGATAGCCCAGGAAACGGAGTTCATAGAAGTCGGCCTCCAGGGCACAGAGCAGGGCAGAGAAGGGCAGAGAAAGGGTCAGAGGAGAAATGAGCATAAGCAGCATAAGAGTATTTTATTTTATCTTAAATTTAACATCTGATCCAAAACAAGTTCTGAAGTATGAGACTGAGCTGGAGAACTATGACAAGTATTTGTTATTAAAAAGACTTATCTATCTCATGTTTAAAGGGCAAAGAACCTTGGAGAAATGGCTGATTCTAGGACTAGCGTGGGGAAAGTACAAGATAGCTGGAGCATCTTATAGTGCCAGGAAGTCAGGAAGTGCTCCAAAAACAAGAGCATGGGCGTGGGCCAAAGAGACGAAGGAGCCAATCGGAAAGAGCTCCCAGGGGCCACAGGTGGAGCGATTTGAGCAACAAAATAAGTGATGTAACACTGGATTGTAACCCAAATTATAAGAAATGCCCAGGAATAGAAACTGATATAAATAACTTACATAAATAAATGGGGGAGACCAAACAAATCTTCCTTAAAGAAGTATTCAAATTTACTAGGCACCACCCTGTTCAGAAGTGCAGTGTAGCCCTCTTCCCCAGTTTGAGTGTGGGTTGCACTTATGACTCACTTCCAAAGCGTACAGAACGGGGAGGGGAAAAAGGAAAGTAACTTTGCCGTGGAGAAACCTGGCAAACACCACCTTGTCCAGGTGATCAGGGTCAGCGTCCTCAGGGATGTGACCCGACAGAAGAGCTGCTCCCCGCTGTGGGGGTTTCCTAAAAACTGACTATCCTGATCCGAGCATGGGAAAAACATCAGACCAAACCTCACGGAAGGACATTCTACAAAACACCTGGCCAGGACTCCTCAAAACTGTCTCGGTCATCAAAACAAGGACAGACTGAGAAGCCATCATGGCCCTGGGAAGCCTAAGGAGACATGACGACTACATATAGGACATCCTCAATAGGACTCTGAGGAGAAGAAGGACCTCAGGGAAAAACGGATGAAATCCAAATAAGTATGGGTTTAGTGAATAGCACTTCATTAGTGTTGCTTTCTTAGTTGTCACAAATGTTCTGTGGTGATGTAAGATGTTAATAGGGGGCATGGGAGAGGAGTATGGGGAACTATGTACTATCTTTGCAACTTTTGTATAAATCTAAAATTATTTTAAAGTAAAATTAAAAAAAGTTATCATGGTACAAAAAGTAAACATGGCTTAGCTTTGAATAGTAAACGGTCATAATATTGTTGACTCTCAATATTGATTTGTTCAAAATTACATGTAAATATATTGGGAGAGTTAGCCAGAAGGGAAAGCACTAAGTGTGTGAGTAATTAATTCACATGTGACATGGAAATAAATACTGAAACCGTTAACAGCTGAAAGAGTTGTAAAGAGCTGCCCTGGGAGGAAATTATGGGAGCGGGGTGCCTGCATTTTGCTTTTGTTTTAAATAAGCCGTGTAGACTAATCCTATATAATAAAAGCCTAATATGCTAAGTGTCTGGTTGGCCGTTCAACCAATCAAAGCGTAATATGCTAATGATATGCTAAGGCCGCTCAACCACTCGCTATGACATGCACTGGCCACCAGGGGGCAGACAGTCAACTGGTTGACCACTCACTATGACATGCACTGGCCACCAGGGGGCAGACGCCCCAACTGCTAGGTGAGCTTGCTACTGGGGTTCAGCCCATTGGGACTGAGCCCTCCCGCAGTCCCTCCCTGGCTGGCCCACCTCCCCCATCTCTCCCCGGCACTGATCGTGCACCGGTGGGGTCCCTCGGGCTGGCCTGTGCCCTCTCGCAATCCGGGACCCCTCGAGGGATGTTGGAGAGCCAGTTTTGGCCTGATCCTGCAGGCCAGGCCAAGGACCCCACTGGGGCACGAATTTGTGCACTGGGCCTTTAGTTTGACTATAAACTCTGTGCATATGTTATGCTGATAAAAACAAATATAAAAAATGTGGGTGGGTGGACAAAAGGCAAAGCACCTGAATCTGAATTTGGCTTGGGGACCAGAATTTAAACTTTTGACAAGGATCACTCTTCCTGTCGGCCCCCATACAGCTGTTGTTGACGATTGAAAAAGCTGAAATTGTCACCGAGGCTTAAACCTTACACACTAAAATGAGGACAGTTAAGCAACTAATTTATTTTTGCAGTCTTTTGTTTCTTTTATAACTATCTGTATTGCTCTTAGATTTTTTGTTATTTTAATGAGAAAAGGTATTAAGCTGAATGTTCAGTCCTGTCATCCATTTCTGAAGAATATATTTTGTCAGAACTGATAAACCACATGTCTGCAATATTTCTATAGTAAAAATGTAATAACATGGTTTTTCTTTCCCAGGATTAAATGTTTTTTTCTCCTTTTTCCTCTTTCCTTCCCTTCTTCCCTCCTCCTTTTTCCTCCCTTTCCTCCTTCCTTTTTTCCTAGTGGGGATATTGCTTAAATACTATAGTTTATGCTTATACCAGACCTGATCGCCCAGAGTACTGTGTTATATTTTGGGATACGAAAAACAATGAGAAATACGTTAAATATGTGAAGAGTCTCATTTCTATTACTACCTGTGGAGATTTCTGCATTTTGGCTACGAAAGCTGATGAAAATCTTCCTCAGGTAGGTGTTACTCGATATTAAAAACTTAGATGGGTCAACCACTTGGCAGAATTAGGCTATAGTTGTCTACTTGCAAGCATGGCCTCTACACTGGCAGGTCCAGCAAAGTATTGGTTCTCTTGGTCATGTCTGGCTAGACTTCTGTTGGAAAATTATATGACCCCATTCAATCAATTAATCCACTGACATTTTATATTGATCAGTTCAGTACTGAAGCTTTTTGTCTCTGAAATGTATTTAAAATACATCAATCCTCTTCCAAGTTAAAAATCCCATAAGCAAAAATGAATAGGCAGATGTCTAGTATAAATGCTCAAGAAGCTATATAACAATGACCATATAACACTTTGGGTAGCTGTGATGTTGAGAAATATACTTTTTCTCAGAGTTATATTGCTTTAAAAATCAGTTTGGTAGCACAAAATAAATAATATAATTAATGCCCTTTTAAAAAGTATGCTAACAACTTAAACATTTACAGAAGCATGTCAGTTTTTCAAAAAAGGATTACCGTTGTCTTTGGCTGTGTTACTATTTTATCCCATTAAAAAGAATGAAGTTTTTGGTGTAAAGTGGCCATTTGAACAGGCACATTCCCCCTGAAACTCCCTAAAACAGGGTATTTCTAAAGAAGCCCTAAGGCCACGGGGGCCAGAAAGGGAGCGGAACAACCCAGTTGTGGAGGTTAGAGCGGAGGTGGGCTGGTGGCAGCCGCCCGAGCAGAACTAAGGACGCTCGCGCCGAACTCATCCGAGGAGGAAGCCAGAGCCGCGTTTACCTCGCAGGGCCCCGAAGAGACGGAGCTCTTGATGGACCTGGTCAGAGAGAGAAACAAACAGCAGCAGTTTGGAAGCAGCGGAGATTACGCAGGAAGGAGAAAACTAACAAAACAAAGGCCTATAAAGGAGCGGACTCCTTCCCCCTGCTGAGCTCCTGGGCAGCCCTTCCTCACCCAGGGACCCGAGGTTCCTCTCCAGAGAGGATGGCAGGAGTCTGCGCGGAAGGGCACCAAGGAAGGCCAGGAGGGGATCTGCTGAAAGCAAGGCAATGAAAGACAAGGTTTACTGCTCTGTGTCCCCGGTCGTCTTTCCCACTTGGCTCCCAGAACACTGGTAGCTAAACACACAGCGTCTAGGTAGGAGACCTCTGAACGCACTCACACTGCGAGTCCCACCTGAAACAGCAGAACAAAACAAGAAGCACCATTATACACGTGTCCCTTCGGTTTGTGGAGGTAAATAGCAACAGGATGAGTTAAAAGATGAAAATGATTAGGGAGTAAGAAACGGGAAGTTAGGGGAGACGTGTATTTTTAGTAAGAAGTCTCATGGAATCACTTGAGTCTGAGCATGTAAATGATAAGAAAACTAAAAAATACAAGTTATTCGTGGTATTTTGTGGCAGTAAGTAAGCTTAAGCAGTGGAAGAGTAAATTATGGTAGTATACCCTTTGCCATTTAGATTATACTTATGAAATAAAACAATTTTTACTTGAGATGCTGGAAAAAGAAAGATAAAGTCTGTATGTAATAGTCCATAGAATATTGGTTAATTTGAAATCATTACCCTAATCAAGAGGACATCTACGGAAAATAATATTCTTAATACCGAAAATCTAAAAATAATATGATGTAAAGTGTGAATTACGCTTGGTTATTTTCTTAATATGAATTACTGATAATTATTTGAATATGTGTTAACTAATGGGCATTTTGAGTCATTTTCACTAGGTTGGATTATGTTTTTTCTAAATTCACTGAATTTTTCTGAATTTCTCCATCGTTTATATATTGCTTCAAAGGAGGAGTGCGAGACGGAAACGTGTGGTGCAACGGTAACAAGTTAAATTAGCTCCTAAAGCTGATCGTAGGAAAAAAATGAATATTGAAGTTATAGCTGATCAGGAATTTTATAAGAATAATTAATGAAAGTAGCCAGTGTATTTGTGTTTCTTAAGTAGCCTCTTAAAAACCACAGAGTTCCAATATTGAGAAATCAGCTTTGGTTTAGATTTAATTAATATTTCTTTATCTTTAATGCTGTAGATTATATTTCTCTGCTGTTCTTTGACTTAACAATTTTATCCATTATCTCTCAGTTAGTGATACTTGAAAAAGAGATATGCTATGTTAAGCATTATTTCCTTTATTATCCTTAAGCAGGAGTTCTGATACCTTTTTTCTTATTTTTCACAGTTTGTGCTAGTTCTTTGTAATTCTATTGGTACACCCTTGGATCCCAAATACATTGATATTGGTAAGGAAATGTTAATATTTATTACTTCTTTAATCAAGGTTTATTTGTAAAGCTAATTAAAAACTAAACAGTGGTATTATTAAATTAGAATGGTATTCTCTAAAACAAGGAGCGTACTTCCTGGTTTGCCAGGCCCAGTTTATGCCTGTCATCATGGAACAATTGTTAATGATGCTCCATCTCACTGAATTACCCAGAAGTTATCCTGGGAAATACAATCAGTTATAAGGTTACTTTATCTAAATTCCATAATAATCTCACAACTGCTATGCTGTCATCATTTGCTTTAAATGGGAATTATAATTGTATAGGGACTGATATGCCACGTAATGATTAGTATGCAACAAACAGGATTATAGAAAGAATTTTGCCCTTAACCTTAAACCACTTTTATTATTAATAAACTGCCTGTAAATACCTCTCTTCTACTAAAAACACTTAGCTGCTTGTAAAAGTGCGTTTGCCTTTTCCAGAATTTTCCAATGAGATATGTCTGCTAATAGGGACAACTTTAAAAATGCCTGAGTTTTTGTTTTCAGATATTTGTTACTTTAGATATACCCTTCCCTGTATCCAAATGCTATGAAGGTAACCATTAAAAAATTACAAGTCTTATTCTAAGTATTTTGTTAAAAACCATTACCAAATATTTTTCTACTGTTCCACTGTAACCTCCAGAAGTAATGGTTTTCTTTGAAAGCGTATGGTAGTTTATTGGATATGGTGTTAGAAGAATGATTAGATTTCAGAAGCTGAAAACCCACATGTTCTGAATCTGAGAATTAGACATTTCTTTTTCCCCTCCAGATTTCACATTTGGACTTAACAATCAGATGTTAGTGTTTGCCTTCTAAGTGTTTTATTGTGCCGAGCACGTTGGGTAATACAAGCAAATGCGGGAAATAACTTCTGGCCTCAGAGATTTTATACTTTATATTTAGGAACTTGGTAACTCACTGTTATATTTTGAACTGCTCAATTTCATGTCCTAAATTCGTTGCTACATGAGCATATTTATATGTATATGTACGGGGTGTCCCCCCCAAATGTATACATACTTTAACAGCTCAATTTTGAAAATGAAATGTATTTTAATAAGCACTGCCTTTGTAATTATTCAACGTGTGCATATACATTTTGTTGGCATACCCTATGTGTGTGTGTGTGTGTGTGTGTGTGTGTGTGTGTGTGTGTATTAGTGTTCCTTGTTAAAAGGCTTAGCTTAAGGTTATTACAGACATGTCACATGAATATCTTCATTTATTAGAAACAAAAGTCTAAGGGGTGAAGTCCGTCAACCTTCAGATTATATGCTTTTTTTTTCTTTTAATATCAAGTTTTAACATAGAATCATAATGATGATAGGATAAGCTTCAAAGCAATTTTGATTGTACATATTCTATTTTTTAATAAAGCCAGATGTAAATTCTTCACCTTCATCAAATGGCAAATGCTTAAGGCATGATTATTTGTAAGTTTGAGTCTAGAAACTTTTTTTTTGCAGTCTCTGTGGCTGAAGTTTTAACAAACAGTTCTTTCATTGGTTTACTGCCAAAGTAAACTCAGCCAAGACTCAACAATTTTTTTTTTCATACTGTAAAATTCCTTTTTTAAGTTTCTGTGTCAAATTTTTATGAGGACTGGAGGCTAAAGCAAAAAAAAGTATGTAACAGATGTTGTTCTAGAAAGAGTAATTTTTGTTTTGTCGCTTACTCTTCCTCCTGTCAATTTCTATGGGAACTTTTAAAAAGAACTTTAGTGTGTAGGACTCTGTTGTATTGTACCTGTAGGAGGTAGGTACCCCTTTTTTTGGGTGTTCTTTCTTCAATCCCTTAAAAATATCTTTGGTGTGCTTCTATTCCAAGTACTTATTCTGCACTGATAGTTGACTTTCTTCTCTATCTTCCCCCACAAGATTTTGAGCTTCTTAAAGATCTACATCTATTAATTCCTATATCCCCACTACCTAAGACTGTACTTGCCCCATAACAAATGTTTATTGAACATATGAAAACATTTAAAATACAGTCCACTTACTTAGTAAACCACCAATGAGTAGATATTGTTTCATGTACTATACTTGGTACAAGGAGGGCTGAGAACTTAATTATGGCATTTCCTGTAGGTTGTCTAAGTAAATAATTAAAATATAGTTAATCCATTGAACAGTGGCCATCACTCCCCTGCTAGGTGTTGGGCTAGGTGTGGTAAGTTATAGGTGCATGAGGACATCAGGGACATCTTGTCAACTGAGAAGGTTTCATTTAAGCTGAGTTTTGAAGGGCACTTCTTCAGGTGACGTTTAAGGAGAGAAGACAGCATTTGCAGGGGAATGAAGGCCATGCAAAGTGCCTGAAAAATGTCCGGGGCCTGTGCTGCAGCCACTGTGGCGGGAGCAAGTACGAGCTTTCTAAGGACGGGCCGCAGCACAAGCACCCAGCCTTCCGCGTAGTCAGAGAGGGGTCGTTTATAATGAAAACATTTCAATGCAGCCTCAGTTTACCAGCTCTTTAAAGGGCTGGGCAATGAGTAAGAAGGAAATTGGGGAGACGTTACAGATGCAGACATTTATTTCAGTCCTCTGCATGGGAATATTACTTTCTTAAAATGTTTTTCCAATAGTCTTTGTAGATACTTTGAGTTTCTCTTTCCAGATGTTGAATAGCTGAGAAGGACATGGAGTGCTTTTATCCTGGTGTGTTTTCTTCCTAACTGTCCTACCTGCTGAAATTTGTTCTTCTGACCATGTCCTAGAGGCTTCGGTCTAGGAAACTAAGCACTAATCTGCCTGGAGGGGTGGATCTTTTAATAGAGATCTAGCAAATTTAGGTTGATAGGGTTAGCTACCCATGTGAATTTGCTGAAATTACTGCCATATTGATTCAAAAGAACCTACTAGTATGTTTTAGATATATCTGTATTTGTTTTTTTTGTATTGACTAGTGGATCTGAATATAGCTTTATTAGAAAAACCTATGTGGGCAATGCCAGTAAAACAAAAATAGCAGCCACACCTAACGCTAACCCTTAAGGAAAGGCAGTGTGCCCCAGTGGTTAAGAGCATAGATTTGGAGCCAGATTAACTGGGTTTGTATCCCGGCTTCTACCACTTTCTAGCTGTGCAACTTCAGCAAGTTATTTAACCATTTTCTCCTTAAGTGTCTACATCTGCTAAGTGGGAATAATAATACTATCTACCTGAGAGGGTGGTTGTGAGTAAATAGATGTCATATTTTAATTTTATATGAATATAATTATGTTATATATTATAACTATATAATTATAATTAATATATTAAATTATATGCCTAGAATAATTTTGAAAAATTCAATAAATACAGACTTTTAAAATTGTTATTAAGCATTTATTCTATGCCAGGCACCATACTATGCTTTATATTTATTATTTTTTTAAATCTTTAAAGCAGCTCAAACGGTTGGTATTATTACCTTTAATTTACAGTTCAGAGAGAATAAGTACTGTACCTAAGGCCACAGAGTTAAAATGCTTTTAATTTGAATCCAAGAAGTCTGACTTTCATTGTAAAGTATAACATTTTAATTTTGAATTAATCAGGCTAATGATAAACTCGTGATTACTTAGGATGAATTGAAATAAAGGGACATGAGTATTTATAATAATAAAAGCATAATATGCTAATTAGACCGGATGTCCTTCAGATGACCTTCTGGACAAAGCTGGGGCTGCGAGGGAAGGCCGGGTCCCGGGTGCCAGAGGGAAGCCGGTGCCAGCAGCCAGGGGAAGGAAGGCCTACTCTTGCACGAATTTCGTGCATCAGTCCTCTAGTATTTTATAATTGTAGGTAAACATTGTTTAGAAAAATGCTTTAATATGCTATAAAAAGTGATGTCTTATTGGAAAGCAGTTATAGTTAGTAGAACGTTGCATGACATTAAGGGCTGTAATGTGACAATAATTACAGCATCAGTCTCCGTGAGAGAATTTACTAAGAATTAGCACAGGTCTAACGATTTAGTGATGACGGGGTCAGTGAAAGCTGAGCGGAGCAGCCTGGCTTGCTGAGTCATTGCTTTCAGCTCCCACCAGCTTTGCCACGACTGCCTTCCAACCAGTTGCTCCCCATTCGGAAGGCTTCTGTCTCCCTCTAGGGTTGGAAATTGTACACATTTTAATAGAAAAATCTGAGACAAGTATAAGGAAAAAATTAAAAAATATATATTTTACTGATTTTTTTACAGAGAGGAAGGGAGAGAGATAGAGAGTTAGAAACATTGATGAGAGAGAAACATCAATCATCTGCCTCCTGCACACCCCCTACTGAGGATGTGCCCGCAACCAAGGTACATGCCTTTGACTGGAATCGAACCTGGGACCCTTTAGTCCGCAGGCCAACGCTCTATCCACTGAGCCAAACCGGTTAGGGCAAGGAAATTTTTTAAAAAAATATGACTCACTATACTGAGTTATTTAGCATATAAAAATTCTTGAATTTGAATTCCCAAGTTGTTAATCTATTTAGCATTATACCATGAGTCTAGTTTCTTCAGTTTCTAAGTCTTTTACTGCCTTAATGTCTTTTATTTGGCCTGTGGCCTGAATGCCATAAATGGCAGCTGCAGTTAACACCATTTGTTTATTCTGGCCACATCAGTGGTGACTTTTCTTAATAATTATGAGTAGAAGACTAATTTTTGTACCATTTAAATCACTACTTTAGAAATTAGGGACTAAAATGATCTTTTATGAAGGACTTTTTTTGTTTTGATATATTTTGTGTGAATTTATGTTTTATATATTTTGTGTGAATTTATGTTGTTTATTTTGTTTGTGACTTTGGACAAGTATTTTACTTCTTTAATTCTACATTTCTTTATCTGTGGGATGGATTTGATGAGACTATCTGTTTCATTAAAGGGTAAACAGTAGGAGCTTCTCTAAGAAGCAGAACATAAAAAAAAGTTACACATTTAGGAGAATATATTCCTAAATTAGGAAGGAACTTTGGGGAATTTTCTTTCTTTTTTTATTCCTCACCTGAGGATATGAGAGAAAAAGGGAGAGAGAGGGAAACATCGATGGGAGAGAAAAACATCGAACGTTTGCCTTTTGTTAGCTTCCCAACTGGGGATCAAACCTGCAACCCAGTATGTGCCCTGACTGGGAATCGAACTGGCAACCGTTCGGTACACAGGATGACAGTGAACCAACTGAGCCACTCTGGCCAGGTTTTCGTTTCTAAGCTAATGAGGAAATATAAGACATACGAGATCAGAGAGAAGGTGTAGTAAATGCCGACACCGAGCAGGAATGATAGTGGGGAAGGGAGGAAGGACTGGGATTGAATTTTTCATTTATTAGTTAATGGACATGAGGGCTGTTGTTACTTTTTGGCTATGATGAATAGTGCTGTTACGAACATTTGTGTATGACTTTTTGTGTGGACATAGGTTTTCATTTCTCTCGGGTATACCCAAGAGTGAAATTGCTGGGGCATATGGTTATTCTGTGTTTAACATTGTGAGGAACTGCTAGGGTGTGCACCACTGGACAGTCCAACCATTTCTCCACATCCTTGTCTATACTCAGGTCTTGTGTGACTGTTGATTCTAGCAAGTGCGGTGGCTGTGAAGTGGTACCTTGTGGCATTTGCCTGATGGCTAATGCTGTTGAGCATCTTTTCATTTGCTTAGTGGTCATTTGTGTATCTTCATTGGAGAATTTCTGTTCAGTTCCTTTGCCCATTTTTCAATTGGGCTATTTGTCTCTGAAGTATGAGAGTTCTTTACATTTTCTAGATATAATTCCTTATCATGTATTTGATTTGTAAATATATTTTACGTTTTGTGGGCTGTCTTTTCAGTTTGTGGATGCTGTCCTTTGCAGCACACATGTTTTTAATTTTGGTGAAGTCCAGTTTACCTACTTTGGCTTTTGTTGCTTGTGCTTTTTTGGTGTCATATTTAAGAAACCATTGCCTAACCCAAAGTCATAATGATTTACTCCTACATTTTTTTCTAAGAGTCCTATGGTTAGCTCTTTGACCTATTTTGAATTAACATTTTTTGTATGGTTTTACAAGCTTTTCACTCTCATTTGATTTCCCAGACTGTGTGGGGTATGTTGTCTGTAAAAGGAGGGGTTGAACTCGGGGATCGCTGAAGTCCTTTGCAGCACATTCTGAGGTTCTGTGTGACTGTAACCTAATTGTCCTAATGTTTTTTAATAGTTCCACTATTTGTTGCAATGACCAAAACCCATGTGATAGCAGCTTCAAAAGAAGCATTTTATATCTGGCAATACCGTGTGTCAAAGAAGCTCACAGCGTTGGAAATCAATCAGATGACACGGTCTCGGAAAGAAGGGAGAGAAAGGTATGTCTTTTGTTGCATATTTTTTAGAAGCTCAACCATATCATATTTATAATATTTATTTTTAATTTTTATTTTTTTATATTTTTTTAATAAGTTTCTTTGAGCCAAACTGACAACGTATGCTGGGGGGCAAGCTCTCAAATGCTGTCCTCAACTAGATCACATTTAAGTCACAGAGTTAGTTATAAATTGTCATGCCTGAGAACTGTAAATTGTTTTGATGAACAGAAATAATATTTTCCAGTTAATCTGAATAGTTTTCAAATGTACCTGTTTAAATTTATCAAAATAAAAGGGAGGAAAGAGTGACATAATAAAAGAAAGCCCTTAGAGATGAAGACTGGAAATCTGTGTTTTTATAAGGAAATGGCTATTCTCACCCCTCTGCTTTCACTAATTAGAGCTACGATACTCTGCTGAAACATGGTGAGTCCGCTAAGGCCTGTGTGTTGGTGGTGCAGGTCCTTCCGGGACAGGAGGGGTGATTCTCGTGCTCCTCACCACAGAAGAGACAGGTCCTTAGACACAGACATGGGCGAGGTCTTAGGTTGGGTGCACTGGTCAGGTGGTTTCTGTCTCTCACCTGGTAGGTAGATAATTTTTACCTTTATAAGATTGAGCATTATCAAGAATTCTTTAAAACAATGGCATTTATGTTAAATAACAATATTCATTGGTGTCATCCAATCCTTGAACTATTCTAGAGATTACGAAATAGTATAACCTTTATACTGTCTTTGAAATTCTGATTTTTCCCCCCCAGAATCTATCATATTGATGATAGTCCCTCTGGATCAGTGGATGGAGTGCTTGATTATAATAAAGCCATTCAAGTAGGTGATTTTATTGCTGCCGTCAAACATGTGTAGATTTGGAAATACTGTAATTTTATTTTGAGACCAGTAAAAGAATTTGTTTCCAGTGATAGCACATTATCCTAGTAATTCTTTAAACATTTTTCTATTCTGAAAACCTTTCTTTAGATCTGCTACTTTTTCTTCTTTTGATTTTTAAAAACATTTTATTTTAAAATAATTGTAGGCTCACAGGAAGTTGCAAAAATAGCACATAGAACTTATTTACCAAGCTTCCTTCAAATGGGACATTTTATATAAATATAGTATAATATCGAAATCAGGAAATTGACACTGGTAATATTACTGTTAAACTATGATCCGATTCCTTATTGTTTGTATGTGTGCCTTGTGCTAGCTACTTCTTCATTTTCACACCTCCTCTCTACACCACCCCTGTTCCCTGGCAACCACTAATTTGTTTCCATCTCTAGAGTTTTGACACCCCGAGAATGTTTTATGAATGGAATCGTGTAGCATGCGGCCTTTAGAGATGGGCTTCCTTTCGCTAAGTGTAACCTCTTGAGTACCATCCAGGTTGTGGCAGTGCCAGGCCATCTCCCTCCCTCATTTTGGCATGGTGGTCCTTCTACCATCTGTTCATCTCTTATGACTAAGCTCAGGTTTTTGCCTCCATGCCCATTTTGGTATAAATTAGATGCTCCTTCCCCCGACCTCATAACTACTTTGTGAACTTTTTAAAAAATATATTTTTATTGATTTCAGAGAAGAAGGGAGAGGGAGAGAGAGAGATAGAAACATCAGTGATGAGAGAGAATCATGGATCGGCTGCCTCCTGCACGCCCCCTACTGGGGATCGAGCCTGCGACCTAGTTGACGCTCAATCACTGAGCCACACCAGCCCGGGCCCCAGTAGACTTTTGACTAATCCCTGAGGGTAAAGATTTCATCCGAATATCTCTAGTGCTTAGTTCAGTGTCTGGCGCATAGTAGGTTAGTAAAAGTTTGTTAAGTTAATAAATGTATTGTTGAACAGAATACTACCTTATACCAGATTAGTCATCCAATAAATATTTGTTAAAGAATAACAAATTGATTTATTTTAGGGCACAAGGGATCCAATTTGTGCTTTAACTGCATCTGATAAGACATTGATTGTGGTAAGTTGTGAAAAAAAATTTTGAATAATAGTTGTTTAAATTGTAAAAATAGAGCAAAGCAACATGTTTTGGGTTTGAATATCATCTTATGGGCACTTTGTGTTTAATTGAATCAAACATAAGAAATAAGAAAGTCATAAAGATTGCCTCACAAATGGTTCATCTTTTGCAAAAAGCTGTTTATAAAAGCAATAGAATGCGGGTCAGTGGGGAGAGTTTGGCACTGGGTTGAATGAGCCCTCTAAAGGGTTAGCAGAAGTGGGGTGGGTTGGGTGGTGGTCGTAGGTTTAGAGCAGGGGTCCTCAAACTTTTTAAACAGGGGGCCAGTTCACTGTCCCTCAGACCGTTGGAGGGCCGGACTATAGTTTAAAAAAAACCCCTATGAACAAATTCCTATGCACACTGCACATATCTTATTTTGAAGTAAAAAAACAAAACGGGAACAAATACAATATTTGTATTTGCATGTGGCCCGCGGGCCGTAGTTTGAGGACCCCTGGTTTAGAGGTTTTCTCCTCTACGTCACCTGCTAGTTCACATTGGAGAAAGTGTTTTGGCTCAGCTACTTTTGTAAGATTTAGGGTGAAGAGGTAGCGTGCTTGCTAGCCATTAAAATAAAGATGTGCATGACAAATTTTTGCTGAATTTTTCAAATAACATCAGTGTATAGTGTCTTTTCTTGAGTTCTGACATTTGAAAATATTAATTTTAGAGATAAATGTTGACTTTGACATAGTAATGCTGGTAAAGTCACTGAATTTGAATGATGTAAACCAAGCCTTCATGGTGTCTGTTTCCCGCTCTAGTTATGTGCTGTAGCCATTGTTAACTAATTTAAGGGGGAAAACAATCTTAAGAACGTGGTATCATTTTTCCTCACCAAGTGAACTTGGTGTCTGCTTTCAGCGGTTGGTCTTAGGTCTGTGGACTCTCTTCTTTTCTCTTTTGCTACATGGCGGGGTGGCTTTTAAGAAAATATGTGTGTGTGTGTCTGACATTTGCAGAAAACAGTAACTTGCAACTCAGAACAATAACAAAAATTGACCTAACTCCCAAATGAGAACCTACCTATAAGAAACGCATTGAAATAGTTTTAATATCAGCCCAAAGTTTCGATGCAGAAGATGTCCTCTGCATTGAACACCTCTTTCCACTGTTGCAATGTAAACAGTTTTTAGAATTTTTACTTTTTCAAACGTTTTAAGCCACAGGACCACCTTTTTCAAAAACAAAATCTTGTTTTGTCGATATATTAAATATTTTAACACCCACATGTCTCTTTTATACATCAGAAAATATCCTCCCCGTCCCCACCCCTAGCACTCCCCAGCCTTTCTGACTGGCCCCTCTTGAGAGTCACTTTGCAAAAGCAGCGCTGCTCTGTGGCAGGGGAAGGGACGAGGGGAGGACTGGCTGCCAGGGGCCTCCACTGTGCCCCGTTGCCTGGGCTCGGCTTGGGGCACAGAGGGTTTGAAAACGGTGGTTTGCTCCTTAAGGCCTGCACAGAGTTGCATAGGAACTTATACTCTATTTCATTTTTAAGCACGTTTAATACTGATTGTATCATTGCTTTCTGATAATCTTCCTAACACATATCAGATAGACTCTCAGTAGCAACTGTTTCATACAGTGATCTTATATATGAAATTTAATGCAGTAAATGCTTTATATTTTAGCCTTTAATGTACCCTGAATATTACCCCAGACAACTATAAATAACGCTAGGTATTTCTTCCTTGTGATGTAAGAATGCGTATGTTATTGAAGAACTAGATTTTTGACTTCTTTTTTGAATGCTACATGAAAACAATTGGATCACCTTCTGCCACTTTTAAAAGGTTTTGATTAACGTAGGAGAGAATTATGTACTCAGAAACATGATTCACTATCACAAGGGGATTTGTTATGATACCATCACTTTGATTTTGAAACAAATTATGAACATATAGAGAGACCTGTAGTTGTAATTTAATGTTGGTCTTTAAAATATTGTGGAAATTTGCTTAATAATCAAAAGTAATTTCCATAGGGTCGTGAATCTGGCGCCATTCAGAGATACAGTCTTCCTAATGTTGGTTTGATTCAAAAATATTCCCTTAATTGTCGAGCCAACCAGTTATCGCTGAACTGCAACTCTAGGTAAGTCTGAAGGCCCCCTTCAGGCAGATGTGTGACTTAGACATTATCCGTGTGGATTGCTAGATTTATGTAATAAATGCAAAGATATGTGTGTGTTTAAACTTGCCTGATAGTTCAGTGTGGTTTGACTATACTGTATTGGTATTTAAATATTTATATTTTTGGTACTGTATTTGGTTTAGATGTCTTTCTTTAATCGGGCAAAATACAGTAATGCTAGTGCAGTGTTTAAGTTATTTATATGCCAGTTGCTTTAATCTCCTTGGATATCTCTTTCCTCACAAGGAAGCAAAGTGGAGAGTCGTCCATGTCTTCTATCAAATTTGTAAAACTGTGTTTGAAGTCAGTTTCTTATCTAAAGCCATTTCTACCTAGATTGCTGGGTCATACTTATATTCATGATCGCTGATAGTAACTTACCATTTCCCCTTCTCCGGGTTCATTATTTGTAGCCGTCTTGCCATCATAGACAACTCAGGAGTCCTAACCTTCTTTGACTTGGATGCACGGGTAACAGACAGTACGGGGCAGCAAGTCATTGGCGAGCTGCTGAAATTGGAGCGGAAAGATGTCTGGGATATGAAGTGGGCCAGAGATAATCCTGATTTGTTTGCAATGATGGAGAAAACAAGAATGTATGTTTTCAGAAACTTGGATCCTGAGGTAAAGACAAGAAATGAGCATTAACAGTACATAAATCATAACGGTACAAATATCAAGACCTGGGAATTTCTCCTTTGTTTCTGCCAGAGGTTTATTGGTGTTGTCTGCATGAATTTCTGAAAGTAAACAGAAACATTTCCGTAGAGTTTTAAAATACTTGGTCTTACGGGGGAACAGTACTCATCCTTTACATGTTCTCTACGTCCTCTGAGAAGTCGGTGCCTGTGGAAAGTGTTTCTTAAGTAGTTTTAACAGAGCAGCCTTCTTCTTTTTAAATTTGAGCTTGTTGTCTGGCTTGGCTAGCACTTAGATTCCTATGAGATTTACAGCTAGATGAATTTTTATAACCTTACCACTGACTGGGTTTCTTCATAAACCATGCTGTACTGTTCTCATTCACGAGGACCTGGCTGGCTGTGGTCCCCGTGTGGTTAACTCACTCTGCTATTCATTCCTCTGCTTTATGTTGAAGAAGGAAAATTTTATATAATTAAGTATAACATTTGTTTTTGTCTTTAAAGGAACCCATTCAGACTTCTGGATATATTTGCAACTTTGAGGATTTAGAAATTAAATCTGTGTTATTGGACGAGATATTAAAGGTAATTTTTTAAAATCCTAACTGGAAGATATGGTTTATTGGTTATTTAGAGAGAGGAAAAGGGAGAGAGAAAGAAACATTGATGTGGCAGAGGAACATCGATTGTTTGCCTCACATAGGAATGTGCCCCAACTGGTGATTGAACCTGAAACCCAGGCATGTGCCCTGACCGGGAATCAAACTGGCAACCTTTTGGTAGGGATGACACTCCAACTAACTGAGCCATACTGGCCAGGGCAAGGTAATCCTTAAAAAAACAATTATATTTCTGCTGCTGGCTCGACTGGGATTAATTTTGCAGCAAGCAGTGTGGGGTCCCGGTTAGGGGTACGCATTGAGGAGTCGGTGTATCCGGGTCCCACCTGCTCTGTCACTGTGCACCTTTAGACAGTTGCCTCTTCTTCAGAGCGTCACTTTCCTGTCTACAAGCTCAGTTTTTACCTCTATCAAGTATGGATAATGCTAATACCTATCTGATAGGATTTTGATTTATAACGTGTAACAAGCATTTAGCACAGTGCTAGGACCAAGAGCTCAAAAATGGTAGCTAGTGGTTGTCATTTTTATAGTAATAACGAAGAGGTCCTCAAGAAACTTTTGACAATTTACTTAGTCCTTTTCTGTCTCTAGGATACTTGAGTAACTTTTTCTTTGAAAATTCACCATCCTTTCATTTTTTCCAAAATAACCTATTTCTGGTTCCAGATACCTCTTCAAACCCCTGCTTTGGTCGTCATTAACCATCACTTGAGAATTAGTTTTAGCTCCATTTTATCCAAAGCACTTACTTTTTATGTGTACTTCGTATATTTTTCGGAATCAGAATAGTAGATTTTAAATTTCCAGAAGTTAGTTGCGGTTTGTAGCATGTTCCACACTTTGGTTTGCTGTGTGATGATGGCCATTTTATTAGGAACTGGTTTTTTTTCTTTCCTGTATCATGACCACCCTGCAGCAGCAGGATGGGTCCCACCCAAAGTTCGGTTTGGATGTCAAGGGTGATGGGCCCACAGGCACCTAGAAGGTGTAAAAAGGTTACTACTTCCGCAACGAGGCTTTGGGGGGAAAGGGCAGCCTCCCCAGCTGGTCTGAAAATGGTGTGAGAGAGTGGGAAGGAGGCTGGCGTGAGGCTTTTTGGTAGTTGTTTAGTCTCATATTTAAATCTTTTGGGAAAGACGACAAGCAAAAGGCCTTATCTCTTCATTCATAAGAGAGGAAAGGGAAATATATACTCTCTGATGTTATATATTCAATTTAAACAGGACAGTAACTGCAGATGGAACCAGTTCTGTTCTTTGACAGATCTAAACAGGGCAGGTCTTTGTCTTTACTTGTTGCAGAAGTGCTCTCCACGCGGGGAAGAGCCCCATGCTCACAGTGGAGATGATATAATGCCTCACACTTCATCTTTGATGTTTGACACTGACAGCGTTTAAGCTTCCCTCTCACCCTTCACCCTTGCCCTCCTGCCTCGCATCTGCAGGACGTGGACGGTAGGCAGGTCCTACAAAGAGTTGTCAGCCAGAAAGCAGTGGAGTTAGGATTTGAGCCAGGTCTGTTTGAATCCCAACCTCATGCTCTTTTCCTACTACTTCCTCCTTGGTGCCTGGAGATCCCTGAGAACTTCCCAGCTTCTAGATACAGTGGTTTCGTGGCAGGGTGAGCAGGGGTCCACGTGGCTCAGTTCACGTTTTCAGAGAACTGGTCTCTGGGGAGCCATTGCTGTTGACACCCAGGGCTCTCATTTTCCCATACGCTTCGCTTTTCATTACTTGGAATACGTGGAATGTTGCTGAGTTCATTATAACCACTTGTTTCCTTTCTTTGGCCATTAGCTCTTCCCTGCAAGACAGGCCTTTGTTTTTGTTGTTGTTGTTAGATTACTAAATTACAAAACAAAAGTGGCAATGAACATCAGCTCTTTTTCTTTTGTTTGCCTGTTGCTCAGCTGCACGTGGAGCAACCCTTTCATTGCCCAGGCTGTGAGGGAGGCTAAGGAGGGAGGGGCAGAGGCTTTGGGCCAGAAGTCAGCAGTGCCTCGGGAATAGACCATAGACTGTTTGAGCTGAGGGAAACCCCTGCCTGAGTGTCCCTTCTAGAAAGGGACTCCTACCACTGTCCCCTCTTCCCACAGGCAGCCTGAGAGCCTAGGAGGCATGTTTTCTGGGTAACTCAAAAGACCCACACGGGGGACTTCTTTTGCTTCCAAGTTTTGCCTACACTACAATGCAGTTTCTTGTTAAACTGTAAAAAAGAAACATATACTCCAAAGGCAACTATTTGAACTTTTTTCTTTCCATCTTTACGTTTAGAATCCAGAACATCCCAACAAGGATTACATAATTAACTTTGAGATTCGGTCCCTGCGAGATAGCCGAGCGCTGATTGAGAAGGTGGGAATTGAAGATGCGTCTCAGTTCATAGAGGACAACCCGCACCCCCGACTTTGGTAGGTAGAAGTAGAACCCTCCCCAAGTGGCTGGTGGGTGTTTCCTTCTTAATTTTTAAATTTTTAAAATTGATTTTAGAGAGGAAGGGAGAGGAGAGAGAGATAGAAACATCAATGATGAGAGAGAATCATTGGTTGGCTGCCTCCTGCACGCCCCCTATTGGGGATCGAGCCCACAGCCCAGGCATGTGCCCTTGACTGGAATCTGACCTGGGACCCTTCAGTCCCCAGGCCGATGTTCTGTCCACAGAGCCGAACCGGCTAGGACTGGTGGGTGCTTTTAAACCCTCAGCTCTGGCCCCCTCTTCTGCCAGCCTCCATCGGGATGGCCTTCCTGCACTCGTTCTTCTTTTTAAGATAAATTCAGTTTAGATTTGGAAGACCTGAGAATAGGCATAACATTAAATGAAGTGGGCACAAAGATGTGTGAGAACAATCGCTTCCCACCGTGCTTCACTGGAAACCATAGATACGATCACCGAGTTCTGGTGCAAGACTCGTTTATCAGGAATTTGCATAGACTTTTAGGATTTTTTTTTTTCTGAAGGCGCCTGCTGGCTGAAGCGGCTCTCCAGAAGCTGGATTTGCACGCGGCAGAGCAAGCGTTTGTGCACTGCAAAGATTACCAGGGGATCAAGTTTGTGAAGCGCCTGGGCCACCTGCAGAGCGAGGCCATGAAGCAGGCGGAAGTGGCTGCCTACTTCGGCAGCTTCGAGGAGGCCGAGAAGATGTATCTTGACATGGACAGAAGGTCAGTGCTCAGGGTGCCGGCATCCGGGGAGTATACTGCCAGAGGAAGGAGGAATGTAAAACAGACTAACGGCACCAAACCGTTTCTTTTAGAAAATCATTTCAGTTTGGAGTACAACCTAGATATTCCCCATGCCCCTCACTAATTTATGGCTTGTAATTTGGGGCAGTTTTCTTAGTTTTCACACATATGAATAGCTGGCCCCGGTAGATTTTTTCGCTTGGTAGGAATAATCATGTGAGCACAGTGACTGGGGCTTTCTCATTTATTACACAGTTCATTATTTGGGTTTAGGCCATTATTTAATTTACTGTTGTTAAGGAGCATGAAATAAAATTCAAACGTGTTTAGGGATTGAGTTTTACTCTTTATATTTTATTTTAGAATTATATAAAATAATGTATGAGCTTCATTTCAGCTCTAAACATTGTCTAATTTTTATTCATATTATTTGTACTTGTGAGAGGCCCTTAATATAACTCAAGCCCTGAAAAGAAAGATAAAGCCAAACTTGTTTTTATATGTTTGGTTTTTAAATAAACCTGATCATGTCTAAGAAATTGATGAAAAGGAGTGATTATTATTGAAGTCATTATTTTGCTGAGGGAATTGGAAGTCCAGGAAAATGAAAGGAGGCAAATTGTTTCCTTTTCCCTATTCCGGGTTCTCCCCATTGCTTCTCACCTGGTCAGGTTAAGTTTCTAAAATGTTTGGAGAATTGCCATGTCTGTCTGTTCATTGCTGTGTACCCGCAGTACCCTAGAATTGGACATCGCGCATAGTAGGCGCTTGAGAAATATTTGTCAAATGAATGAATTAGTAACTGAATGAATGCCTCTGTTTGCAGAGATCTTGCTATTGGCCTCCGGCTGAAGTTGGGAGATTGGTTTAGAGTACTCCAGCTCCTGAAAACTGGGTCTGGTGACGCAGACGACAGTCTCCTTGAGCAAGCCCACAATGCCATCGGAGACTACTTTGCTGACCGACAGAAGTGGTAAGGAACCTGTCTGGACCCACTCAGCCAATCACAGCCTGTGGAATGTAGCTGCCGGCATTCTTACCTAGGAAGTGATGCTCAGGAAATGAGGAGCACCCTCCTGGGTCCTGCACTTCAAGTAGCTCTAGGTTCACGTTGGGCATGAGATGCTCCCAGTTGTTAGACAAGCTCTGGAGTTTCAAACTCAAAAACCTTGAGCTTAACTCCCGGCAGCTCTTCCTGTTTGAGACCACAGTGTGCAATTCTAAGCCATTCTATGATTCACTTCCGGAAAAGTGAAAACAGCATTTTATGTTGGCTTATTTTGTTATTGCAGGTTACTTTCAGAAATCATTGGCTTTTATTCTTCAGTTTTCATTTTGAGCAGTATGCTTTTCTATTGATGTCAGTGTCTGGAAGCACCACTGTGTATCAGATTAAAACAGTATTAAGACTATTCAAAGAATGTTGTAACTAAAGCATGCTTCACAGTTTTAGATTCCACCAATTTCTATGCTTCAAAGACATTTTGTAACTGAAGATGTTGACTAGAATAATCCTAGTAATTCTAATGAAGGAACATTTTTTGGTGAAAGTGCTATTTCTTAGGAGGTTCACATTAGCTTTAAAAGTTTTCCTTTTTTCTCCCATAGGTTGAATGCTGTACAATATTACGTACAAGGCCAAAACCAGGAACGCTTAGCTGAGTGTTATTACATGTTAGAAGATTGTGAGGGATTGGAGAATCTTGCCAATTCACTTCCAGAAAACCATAAGTTGCTTCCAGTGGGTATTGTAAATTGAAGTTTTTGAAGTTGTTAGTTTACTTTATAAGGTTTTTATGTTATAATCAGGATATATCCTCTGTGGGAAGGAAAATTTTAAATTAATCTATAATCTTAGTTTCTTAGATTGGAACAATGCTATTGATTGCTAAAACATTACATCAATATTACAGAATACTTAAAAAATGGAGGAAAACCTAGTAACATTCCTGCTACTTTAACATGATCACAGTTCTGCGTAGTTTTACCCATTTTATAAAATTGCTTATAAAACTTAGCTGAACCAGGACAGGTTTACAGATGAAATGATATGTGGTCAGATATTTGCTTTCGAATAGTCCAGGCTGTGTCTGGTGCTTAGTATGTGTATGTTTGAAATTTGCTGCAACAAGAGTTAAAAAAGAGAGCTTGACTTTTATTAGTTTATTTCAACAATAAAATATTTATTGTTAAAAAAGAGAAACTACAAGTTCTCTGGAACTTTGTCCTTTTTAAGCATCTTTACTTGTCGAATGATGGTGATGAGTTTGTATTTGACTTGCTTTATCCAAAATGTAAACCACTGAACAGTGTAACACCCATAGAGTTAGCAGCTCCCAACTGCAGGGTCTGCACCCGGATCAGCTGTGAGCTCTGCCACAAAAATGTTGTCTCTTACCTAACAGGTGAGCATAGAGTTCTGAGAAGCCCGTTTTCTGTGTTGTGAATTAGAGCAGTTTCCCTGTGGCAGTGGCATTTCACACCCTTCCTTCTCGTCCTGTGTGTTTTCTGGAAGGGAAAGAAATGGAAATTACCTGTGACCGGGGGTAATGACAGCGTAGCCCACGTGGCTGTTGTCTGTTAGTGTGTCTAATGATGCAGAAAAAAGTCTTTCTGTGGAGTATCCAGAATAGTAATGTTACTAAGTCAATACTAAGTAATTATAGCTATAGTAACACTTAAATAACTAAAATAATTAAGAACTTAAAATAGTACTACACATTTCAAATCAAGTTTTGAAGCAGTTTTTAGTAATATAGTAAAATGTACATAATATTTAAGTGGGAAAGGCAGGATACAAAGCCTTATACTAGTTCAGGGTTTGGCAAAGTAGGTTTACAGTTGTTTGTATGGAAAATAATGCAAATTAATAATGTTTAGTAATTACTAATCTATAATAATAAAAGTGTAATATGCTAATTAGACTGGACGACCTTCCGGACAAAGCCGGAGCTTCGAGGGAAGCTGGGGTCCTGGGTGCCAGAGGGAAGCCAGTGCTGGTAGCTGGGGGAAGGAAGGCCTACTCTTGCACGAATTTCATGCATCGGGCCTCTAGTTACTAAATAATGATACAAGAATAAACTCTGTGTTTCACATACTCACAACTGTAGACCTACTTTTGCCCCACCCTGTATGGTATGATTACAATACATGCACCACCTCATATACACACATGTATTCAGAGGACAAAGATGTTAGGAATTTCCATCGGATTGTTGAGAACGGTCTCCTGTGGTTAATAGATTATGAGTGACCACATTTTTGTGTTTTAAAATTTTTTAACCATAAGAATGTATTAGTTTATAATCAGAAAATATAAGCATTACTTTTTAAAAGATAGTTGGTACAAAATATACTTTTGTATTTCTCAAAATATTTTAAAAGTAGGGTGGGGAGAGAACAACTCTGGCCAAATAGATTCAGAAAGAAAAGAAAATATTCTGGAAATGGGAAGTCCAGCCCCGTAGGTGGGATGTTTTTCGTGTGGTTTCTCTCCTGCCACCGCCCTCTGAGGGAGCTGTGTCGGGTCCAGCGTCCTGACCCGATGAATGGCCAGCTTGTGGGGCATTCTTTATAGGGACATTGGGGACTCTGTGAATGAGAGTTCCCGTAAGCCTCAAATTAACAGTTACCTTTGATGATACCATATGCCCAAAGGCTTTGCTTACCACGAGTGTGGGGTTTGCTTGGTTGGTGTGTCTGTAAACTAGCTTCTAACCTGAGGAAGAAAAGAGTCAGTGTCTTCAGGTCCTGGTTAAAACTCAGATCCCGGTGGGAGCCGGGGAGCACGGGTTTCTAGAGGGTGATGGTTAGCATCCGTGCTGGTTGGTGGCCTCTGTCCCTCTGTCTGTTTAAATGCAAAATTACTGTAACCACCAGTCCATTTAATACGCACATGTTCCCAGGGAGTCTTGTAAGTTCAAGTAGAAGTGATTTCCTTCGTCTGTGACATCTGAGAGTATTGTTTTGTCCTTACAGGAAATAGCACAAATGTTTGTGAGAGTTGGAATGTGTGAACAAGCAGTGACTGCATTTTTGAAATGTAATCAACCAAAGGCAGCAGTAGATACCTGTGTGCATCTCAACCAAGTAAGGAACTGGAAGTTAAGTGACCGCGGTCGTCCTTTAGAAACTGTGGCCAAATAAGGGTCGGAGAGCTTGGGATGAAAGTAGTGACAGGAGACAGGACGTCTCTGACTTAGTTGAGGACTAAGAAAAGGTTGGCCTTCCCTCACCTCTTGAAGCGCCACCATTAAGGCTGACGCAGTCAAAACTAGCTCAGTATGGGAACAGGAAGTAACCCTGCGCTTTAGTCTGGCAGGTTTTTATCTGGAAGCAATTTCATAATTTTCTGCATTTTATTAGGATTGGGTTTTGTTTCCATAGAAGGACTAGGTAACGATTATTGCAAGAGGAAAGGATTGAGTTACTTTCTTAATATTTCTTTTGGCAAATCTATATTCTTTTGCCTTTAAAGAAAATGTATACTTGATATTTTAAAGAGCTGGAACTTAACTAAAATTGAAGTACCGAATTGTTGTTGACATTGTTCACTATCGCTGCATTCTTTTAAGTATTTTCCCAAAGTATTTTATAAAGCTTCATTTGTTTTATAAAAAATATCTTTCGAATGTTATAGCTGATAGGATATTTTCTTAACTGAAATTGTGTATTTTGATCTACTATACACATCTTTTTCTCTCTCATACTTTGAGCAGAGTTAGAATTTTAAGATTAATGTGATTATCCACTTTGAAGCTTTCCTTTTCGGATGTACTTCTTAAGCAACGCAAAGTCTTAGATCATGTCATCATTTTGATGCATGTTTTATTTGTAAAACTTATAATTGCTTTTATTTTAAGTGATTTAAAAAATAGATACCATTTTAATTTTAATACAGCATTATTATTATAAACTTGAAGATTTATTGTGTGAAGTCTGTGATATGTGACTATAAGTGCTGAGGTAACTGAACGGTGTATTTTTTTCTCCTAGTGGAACAAAGCTGTTGAATTGGCTAAAAATCATAATATGAAAGAAATTGGATCCCTGTTAGCGAGGTATGCAGCTCACTTATTGGAAAAGAATAAAACTCTTGATGCCATCGAACTCTATCGGAAAGCCAATTACTTTTATGATGCTGCTAAATTGATGTTTAAGGTATGTAATATTTATTGTTGGTATTTGGTTTGTTCTAGTTACCAGTGTTTTCTTAGATGTTAAAGAACACATTTTCGAATTTGTTTGGAAACAAATATTTGTTGTAGCAAAATACCTCTGGTTTTATCACTACTATAACAATGTGTTATCTTATTATTACCTTTACTAACAGGCTATTTATTAATATTAGCATCTTATTGCTACCTAAACAATTATGTGTTTATTTAATACTGACATTAAAGAATTATAGGATTTTTAGGGACCACAAAGTACAATTTCCCTTAACTGGGAATTAAGTCCTGTTGACAATAGAATTTTGGGTCCCTTAAAATGCGCACGTCTTAAAGACATTACACGTTTCATAATATGCATTTGGCAGGAAGGTGAGTAGTACGGTATGAGTGTATGCACATTTTACATTCTATTCTTTTCACATTTGCTTTAATGAAAAAATGAAAAATTTCCCTCAGAATTGTTTAAATAGAAATTTCTGAATTTAACATGATATACCTACCATTAAAGCCATTTAATCTCTGTGCACTTAAAACATTATTTAAAAAATTTCTTTGTGCCCTAGCTGGTTTGGCCCAGTGGATAGAACATTGCCCTGTGGATTGAAAGGTCACGGGTTTGATTCCGGTCAAGGGCACATACCCGGGTTGTGGGCTTGATCCCCAGTAGGGGGCGTGCAGGAGGAAGGCGATCAATGATTCTCTCTCATCATTTATGTTTCTCTCTCTCTCTCTCCCTCTCCCTTTCTCTATGAAATCAATAAACATATTAAAAAAGAAAAAGAAAAAAATCTGTTATGGAAAATATTACCCATTCCTTGAATGCTTTCTTCATTCTGACTTGACATCTGTTATTTTCTAAGAATCTTCTAAGTTATAACTTCAAGGGTTAAATACTAAGAAGGAACTAAGTACTTATCAGTACTAAGGAAAAGAAAGTGGGTTTAAAAATATTTAAAATGAGGGATATTTATATTCCATCCTACTGACTTTCCTCCTTTTTTAAGAGAATTAAATTTGAGGTGATTATATCTGTACAAATATAGATTGAGCAATATCTTCCCTCAATTCTTTAAATACTTAAAGATTGCTGATGAAGAGGCGAAGAAAAGAACGAAACCTTTGTGTGTCAAGAAGCTGTATGTACTGTCAGCCTTATTGATAGAGCAGTACCACGAGCAGATGAAAAACGCTCAGCGAGGAAAAGTTAAAGGAAAGAGTTCGGAGGTAAGCAGACCCTTATATAACTCATCCGAAGTGTTTAAAGAAAAAACAGCCAAACCGGTTTGGCTCAGTGTATAGAGCGTCGTCCTGCGGACTGAAGGGTCCCAGGTTCGATTCCGGTCAAGGGCATGTACCTTGGTTGTGGGCACATCCCCAGTAGGAGGTGTGCAGGAGGCAGCTGGTTGATGTTTCTCTCTCATCGATGTTTCTAGCTCTCTATCCCTCTCCCTTCCTCTCTGTAAAAAATCAATAGAATATATTTAAAAACAAACAAACAAAAAACAATCAAACTTCTCTTTTTGGACAGGCCGTTTAATTTGCCTATTTGCATTTATTTCCTTAAATGATATGAGGAAAGGAATGACAGATATGGAATTAGTACTCAAATGTTAGAAATTTTTATTTGGAAATATTGGAAAACTATTTTTACTATAAGACTAATCTACAATCTGCTTTAATTCCTTACTTAGAAAATCCTTTCTAATCTGTGAGTCCTAAAAATTTTCTAGGTTATGTATATTATTTTAATATGCAAATGAATCTCTTATTAAAGTTTAATCAATTCTGTTTTAAAATTAGATCAATCCTTTCACAATGTATATGTATAGCAAGTCACCACAATGTATACTTTAACTCTTATATTTATTTAAATTATACCTCGGTAAAGCTGAAGAAAATTTGATCACACAGTTTGCTAAAACATGAATTATAATGAAGAAATTAAGTCTGCAATGACAGTTTTGTAATGATAAATCTGCTAATTTAGAGATTGGAATGTAGTTATCTTCTGGGGGGGGCCGTTGTTGTGGCTGTGCTGAGGGAATCGTGTGCTTCACTTGCAGGCCACTTCGGCGCTGGCTGGTTTGCTGGAGGAAGAGGTGCTGTCCACAACCAGTCGGCTCACAGATAATGCCTGGCGGGGCGCCGAGGCCTACCACTTCTTCATCCTGGCGCAGAGGCAGCTCTATGAGGGCTATGCGGACAGTGCACTGAAGACAGGTGGGCCTGTTCCCTAATGGGCGGGGTCTAAAATTATAAGCTGAATAGGAAGGGCCTTATAGTAATTTCAATAACACCTTTTTTCCGATGGATTTATTTTCTTATGTTTGAGATTTGCTATCTATAATGTGTTTGTGCATTCCCCTTTTTGATGTTCTTTTTATTTTTTAAAACAAAAAATATAGAAAGCAATATGTACAATTCACAGAAAAACAAGAAGTTTGAGATAAGCAAAAAGAATATTTGTAGCATTAACTATTCTATTCAGTCAAAGAAAACACTTAATTGCCATGTCTTTTTGTATGTGTGTGTGTATATACATATTATATAAATATTTATAATCTATCATCTATATAATACAATATATTACATGAAATAAATATATTTAAGTAAGTAAATTTGTTTTTCTACAATATGGGAGTATAGCAGATCATACTTTTGTGTACTTTTTAAAAACAGTAATATGTTTTAAAATATTTTTATATTAGTAGATAGATTTCTATAGCATTTAACTTTTTAAAATAAAAATACTTATATAACAATTTCAACTGAAACAAAAAGATAAAAGATAAATTCAAAGATAAAAGTAAAATTTTATAACTCACAAATAGTCATTTCCAACATTTGGGTGAACTTCCTTTTTCACATTTTTTAAAATATATTTTTTTATTGATTTCAGAGAGGAAGGGAGAAGGAGAGAGAGATAGAAAATCAATGATGAGAGAGAATCATTGATTAGCTGCCTCCTGGATGCCCCTACTGGGGATCGAGCCCGCAACCCAGGCATGTGCCCTTGACTGGAATTGAACCAGGACCCTTAAGTCCGCAGGCTGAGGCTCTATCCACTGAGCCAAACCAGCTAGGGCCCTTTTCGACATTTCTCCTTACCCATAAAGTTGCTGTTTGTATATAGTTTTATTGGAAAAAAAATCAATACAATATATGTTGTTCAGGGCCTTGCTTTCTACCTTCAACAGTATATTGCAGTTATCTTTCCATGTTGGTAAAGAGAGCTATGTGACTATTTTTAGTAGTTGTGTAACATGCCATTGTATTTATGTACTGTAATGTATAGATTATTTACATGCATGATGATATATTAATTCCAAAAGAGCATAGATAAGAGAATTTTCTTATAAACCAGGACATATGAATGACTGAACCATAGTGCTTTCAGATGGGCCACGACAGTACTGTAGAATGTCACCATCCACCCGGCCTCCCTGTAGCATCTTGGTTGGGCCACTGTGAAGTCACCAGGCTGCTGCTCCTATCACCAGCAGCACATCACACCCTCAGATCACCAGTCTCTATTTCCAGGACCGGAGCTGCCAGCTGGCGTTCGGACCCTGATCACGTAGCGTGCTTCTTCCGGCCAGTGCTCCGACCTCCCGCCATTGTTTCCTTTCACTGTGCTGAAGCTCATGTGGGGTAAACTAAGCGCAGCACAGATTCTTTCCCAGGCACCATCAGAATTGCTTTGCAAAGTCCACATTGTTCTTTCTTCCCCAGCTCTTCACCTGCGAGACTATGAAGACATTATCCCCGCCGTGGAGATCTACTCTCTGCTGGCGCTCTGCGCTTGTGCCTGTGAAGCCTTTGGGACTTGTTCAAAAGCTTTTATTAAACTAGAATCGTTAGAGAGCCTCAGTCCCGAGCAGAAACAGCAATATGAAGACCTTGCCATAGAAATCTTCACCAAACATACGCCAAAAGACAATAGAAAATCGGAATTGGACAACCTTCTTAAAGGGTAAGGCTAGTTGTAGTTAGTAAGTGTCATTCTCCCTTTTCAGAAGTTTGGATTTCTATATGTATAGTAGTGTGATACAGTAGTTAAAGCACTCCGTTTTGAAGTAGGTTCCCTTAACATTACACCCTATATTATTTAGTCTTAGAAGTATATTAATGCTTTATTTTCTCATTGTAAGAAAAGTTTTTAAGTTTACCTTGAAATCTTTTTTATTCCTCAGTTTTTAACTGTCATAAAGTTTTAAGTAATTAGAAGCTGTGAAATATAATGATTTGTTCTTCCTCTTATGTTCACAGAGGGAAAGGGAAACTGCCAACATGCGTTGCCACCGGCAGCCCCATCACCGAGTACCAGTTCTGGATGTGCAGTGTGTGCAAGCACTGCGTGCTGGCTCAGGAGATCAGTAACTACAGCTTCTGTCCCTTATGCCACAGCTCAGTGGCATAAAGGAACGACGAGTCGTGTGTGACTGTAACACATAGGAGCATATATGCATAGCTATCACGGTGTACATAATAAGGTTGACTTCCATACACTTTATATGAAAATCAGCATCTTTATTTCATAGTTGTATTTTGACATAAAATTATATATAAATTACGCATATATATAATATCTATATTATATACACATGTACATATTATGTATATAATTTTGTGTTAAATTATGACTATGAAATAATGATGCTGATTGTCATATGAAACATATGGAAGTCAACCTTATTTCATGTCTGTCCATCTATCTATCTATCTTGTGGTTGGTTACATGATACTATGGAAATATTCTGAATAACAAATTTTTTTCTCATAGTGTCAAGATTACTAAGTCACAGAAAAGTCTTGGCGAGGGCACAGAGGCAACATGAGAGCGGGGCAAAGTTGTACCAGAGGAGGTTAAACAATTTGCTTCAAGCCCAAAATCAGCTATTGACTCCTCAAGCCTTTCCTAACACATCTATTGGGGACTCTCTTTTGGGCCTTCTCACTTGCTACTAGTTCAACCATGCCTGAGCGCTAGAATTTTTCCTCCAGTTCATTATTTCAGATAGAGCCTGAGTGGCTGTCTCTACTTCCTGTTCAGTTTAATATAGAAACCAACATCTCTAAATAACCTCTTGTAGACTTAATTATGTTGTTTGGGATTTATAGCTGTGAAAGTTTTAGTGATCAGCCATGTTTTGGGGACCTTGTCTGTCTTGAAAGTGGTAGGTACTAGAGGAAGGCCCACAGCATGAGTTGACCCAACTGGTTTTATTCAACATGAAGGATTTTTTCAGGATAACAACAACAAACTCTCCCATGGTGAAAGGGGCACAGGGAACAAAATTGTCTATATATGACAAATACTTGGAGAGAAGTTGGATAGAGGTAGTATATTAAAGATAGTATAGGAAACAGTTATGTTCTGTTCTTGTAATAAGTCCCTTTAAGTAATGCTTTATCATATAACTTGGTCTGAACTATGTGAAGTTCAAAGTCGCATGGTAAGCCAATGTACTGAGATGACAGAACCTACTGATGAAGCTAAACAAGTAGGCACTGTGCCCAAAAGCAACATAGCATTGTCGACCCGCCTGCTGTCAAGCACGAGTACGACTGTATTAGACATTTTTTTCTAAAGTACACTTTGAAATTATATTTTTGTATTTCAGGGGCTGATATCTTTGGTTTTATGTGGCATTAAGTGAAATAATATGAAAATAATAAATATTAAAGTAAAAAAAATGAGTTATCTTAAGTTTCCTTTATTTAGAACTTATGGATAACATGGTATTTGTTTAAATATTTTCGTGGGGGTTGGTTAGGAGGCTGTTGGGCTGCAGAGTGGATAAGGGAAGGAAGGGTCTGGAGGCCTAATGCATGTATAATATCGCTTTTGCTGCCAAACAGGAGAAACTATGACCACCACCGCCTATTAGGGTACTAGGCAGATGTCAGGTTAGAGTGCAGTACTCCTTAGAAGCCACACAGAGTTCTCATTTAGAAATGGGGGGGAGGGGACAATTATGTTACTAGACTTTTAAGAGAAAATCAGGAGTATTTAATTTGATGATGATATAGCTCCAAGATATTACTACTGAGTTTCTAAAATGCAAATAGCAATATTATGCTGCCCCCTTCTGTGTATTCTTATTATTTTCTCAATTCAGTTTAAAAATAATCACTATACTATTTAAAATTGACAAGTGCTGGTGAGGATACGGAGCAATTGAAACCCTTATATGTTGCTGGTGGAAATGCAAAACAGTACATCAACTTCGGAAAAGTTGAGTTTTAGATGTGCTCCATATATATTATGGAAATACATGTTTACCTGTGTGTATATGTATGAATATGTGTGTGTTGTTTTTAAAAAATTATTTCATTTTTTGCTGCTCCAGTTAACAAAATGGAAGTTTTATTGAGGCCCCAGGGCCCGGGAGGCTCAGGTAGGCGGCCACCCTGTGGGGAAGGAGGAGCCTGATTTGACTTTCTTTGTGGGGCACAGGTTGTTGGTGTGGCCACACTTCCTGTGGCAGTTGACAGCATGGGGCTGCAGCAAGCATAACACTGTCAGCAGATCATCCTGTTTTAGTTGTATCTCTGGGTGAGCTGGCAGAGGGAAGGAAGGCTTGATGATGCCACTCTGCAGGCCAAGTACCCGTGTAGGTGGACTCTATGGAAGACGGGCATGAGTTGGAGGGATAGCCACTGAACCTGGCCCCAGCACCGGTCACAGGGCATGACCCTTTAGTGTCCTGTAGACCAGAGCTTCTCGTGTGATGGGGACACCATGTCAGAATCCCGAGTGTGTTCTATGAGTAGGTGGACACACCAGCCAGCCTGCCCCCCAGAATCTTCATCTCTGCATCCCCCACTCTTATCAGATACATGATTCGAGATATTTTCTCCCTTCTCGGGGTTGTCTTTTTACTCTGCTGATAGCCTTTTTATTGTACAAAAGTTTCTAATTTCCATGAAGTCCAATTTATTTTTCCTTTTGTTGTCTGTGCCACTGGTGTCATATCCGAGGGTTTTTGTCTTGTTTTCATCTAAGAATTTTGTATTTTCAGCTCCTATATTTAGGTTGTTAATCCATCTTGAGTTAATTTTTAAATATGGTGTTAGGTTAGGATCCAACTGCATTCTTTTGCATGCAGATACTCAGTTTTCCCAGCACCATTTATTGAGAAGACTGCTGTATGCCAGTGCCACCCTATTTTGATCACTGTAGTAGCTTTGTAGAAGATTTTAAATCAGGAAGCATGAGTCCTTCAACTTTGTTCTTTTTCAAGATTGTTTTGGCTACGTGGGATCCCCTGAAATTCCATATGGATTTAGAATGGATTTTTCTATTTCTGTAAAAGCATCATTGGGGTTTTGAGGGATTCCAGTGAATCTGTGATGGCATATTTACTAGTAAAATATTGCTTTACAATCCACGAACATGGGAAGTCTTTCTATTTATGTCTTTACTTTCTGCAACGTTTCATTGTAGGAAGTCTTTTACCTCCTTGGTTAATTCCTAAGTATTTCATTCTTTTTGATGTGATTGCACATGGAATGTTTTTTTTTTTATTTCCTCTGGATTGTTCATTTTACATAATTTTTACTTGAATTAAACATACTTAAATTTCTATATGGGTTTCCTTTTGGCATAAAAAGCCAAGGAATGTAAAGTAACATCATAGACCACAGACCGTTGACACGGAATTACTATTTCATTAATCTTTATACTATTCCCAAGGTTCAAAAGGGTTGATAAGTTTACAATCTATGGTCTTGGAGCTAATAAACAGTTTGAATTGGGACGCTGGACCATGGGACAACTGAGTGGGATTCCATCAGTCTCGGGGTTAACCAGAGGCTGCTCGGAACTGGGGTGTCTTGCTCGGGTAGACGCTGATAGGTGCTGCACTTCCCCATTCATAAAACAACCCAGGTCTCTTCCGCTTCCGGCATGCTCCCCTCCCCCCCATTGTAACAAAGGGCAAGCTGCTCGCAGCATTGGGCCACGGGGTTGGGAGCCAGTTCGATCTATCACTTTCCTGGGGACCGAGGCCGGCAGGACTAACAGTAACGAAGGACCTGCCCTTCCCAGGGCCGGTCCCAGCTCTCCCGGCAGTCTGCGCGCTCCGCCCGGGCTAGCGCGGAGGGTAAACTCCGGGTCCGGAAGTGGCTTTGCGGTTCCGCCCCTGAAATCAGCCCTCTTTCCATCCCGAAGGCCAGACCTCCGACCGCGATGTCGGGGCCGCAGGGGCAGGGAAGCCGCGCAACCCTAGGCCTCGCCCAGGCCCACTTCGAGAAGGGCGAGTACGCGGAGGCCGAGGCGCTGTACTCCGCTTATATTCGCCAGTGCGCCTGCGCAGCTTCCGCGGGAGCGCCGCCCGGGAGGTAACTATCGCGAGACGTGGGGTCGGCGGCGTCCTCGCGAGGTGGGCGCCGGGGCCGCGCAGCCGCTCTGCTCGCCCCTGAGCTCCAGGGCCGACTGAGCTGCGGGGACGCGGGGCAGGTGCTCGTTTTCTCCGGAAGGCGGGAGGGAGCGTCCGGGAGTGCGACCCCTGGCCGTCGCCGTGGGGCGCCCTGGAGGGTGACGGGACACCGGAGCGTCGGCCCGTCCTCACCCGGGACGTCCCCCTCTCTCGGTCCTCCCCCTCGGGACTCCGAGCGGAAAGCGCTTTTCCACCCGTCCTTTAACAGCGGATCCCGGGACCCGGTGAGGGCTCTGCGAGCACCCCAGCCACAGCGTCACAGCAAGGCAGTGGTTTCTCACGTGCCGGGACAAAAGTGTAAATATAAGTACAGTACAATGACCCTCCCGGTCGTCACGGTTCGGCTTCCGTGCCATCCCTGCGCCCAGACCTCATGTTCTGTATCTGTGGGTGTTTCAAATGCATCTCTTAAGTGTTAAGGATTCTTAAGAAGACATAACCGCAATATCTTTATCACTAGTTCCTTCATAGCAAATGCCCAGTAAAGGTTGGAGCTTTCCTGATGGGTCAATAAAGTTTTTTTTTTTTGGTTGTTGGTTTTCTGCAGATGGTTCAAGCCAGGGTGCACATTAGGGCTCCCCCCCCCCCTTTTTTTTTGCAATCCCTCAGAAAGAAGACACCTACTAAGAAGGGCTCCTGGTGGCCAATTGGGTTCAGACGTAAAAGCAACAGCCGAGCAGCCATTCCTGCACACGGGCCTCTCATGCAAAACTGCACGTCAGGGCGCAGAGGCCTGCACTGAACTGCCTGCTGCGCTGGGTGTCTGCAGGTCCCGGAAATCCCATTCAGACCAATAGGACTGAGGCTTTTCCGTCCAGAGGGAGAGGCACAGCTCTGGCTTACCTAGTAGGTTTCAAAGAGTATTCACCCAGCAGCAGGCACCTCGATGCCCTCCAGTCCTGTTTCTCTTCCTCCTTGGCACAGCTCCGCCTGAGGGCACCGTGTGCAGCTGTAGCAAACAGCATTTCTGCCCCTTTGCCAGTTTCAGAAAGAAAGTCTGCATGGCTTAGTAGAAGGGAGCTCCGTGCGCCTGAATTCCAGCCCTGGCGCCGCCGCATAGCTTGTGCCTTCTCTCGGCCTCAGTTTCTCATCTGTGAAATGAATCTTCCCTTTCCTTACAGTTCTGCAGTTCTTCTAGGAGCTCTGGATTGAAACGGAATTCTTCAGCGTTTTCCTTTACATGTATCTTTTAGAGTTTAAAATTATTAGAAAAATACTGGGTCACTGAAGCATTTTGAAATAGTATTTGCAAACTTTGTATTTCTCTCCATACCCAAAAGTATATATAGCCTTAGCCATAACCCAATTTCCAAATGTTTTTTTCTTTGCTAAAGTTAGCGAATGCTAAACATCCACATTTGGATTATGTAATCTGGTTCAATGACATTACCATAAATACTGTTATTATAAAAATCTCAATATTACAGAAAAAATTTGGGGCTCTAACTATTAGCCCATATCTTTAAAATATGAAACAACTTTCACATGAAAAGTAGGCTTTTAGTATTTGTTGTACTGAGATCTAATTCTGAATCAAACAGTCTATGATCCTCTGAATATATTAAATTTATAACAAAGCTTTGAAGCTTGGAAATTTAATGACTAAAACCTTACTGGACTCCTGAGGCTGCTCTTTTCTTAAAACTCTTTACGGGGTAGCAGCTCACCTAGTACAATAGATGAAGGGAGTATGTCCGCTTGTGCAATGGTGCTCATAGCATCCAGAAGTCCCTTTCAGTCATAGCTCATAGAAACAGACATTTTCTTTTTTAAAATATTTTTAAAAATATGTTTATATGTTTTTTATTTCAGAGAGAGGAGGGGAGAGGGAGAGAGAAACATCAATGATGACAGAGAATCTTTGATCTCATTGATCGGCTGCCTCCTGCACGCCCCCTATTGGGGGTCGAGCCCACAACTGTGACCTCCTGATTCATGGCTGAGGCTCAACCACTGCCCCACGTCAGCCAGGCAAAACAGACATTTTCTAAAATTGCGGTAGTTCCACTCCATGGCTAGCAAACTTAGACTCGACGGAGACCTCTAGGCTGTGAGCAGCAGTAGTTCCAGTAACTGTCTCACATTTCCAGGATCAAGATGAAGGGAAGTAACTTTTAATAACACCGACAGCCACAAATATGTTCTGAGGCCTATATAGCAAAGAAACGACAGGTGCGTTTGGGCTGTATCTTCCCTGGTTGGTTCACATTTGAGAATCCCTTTGGGGAAAAAGAGAGGGAGACAGAAGCATCTCTGACGCAGAGCAGAGCCCAGGAGTTTCTCTGTGCACACTTGTCCGGCAGGGCCTTGGGCTGGAGGGTGAGGGAGGGGAGGGCTGTGTAACCTGTGGGGCTGGTGGCTCAGGGCTGCCTGGGCTTCCTTTCCGGAATGTCTGTTCACTTCGGAGGGCAGCTCTCTGCCCAGAAAGCACGCCCTGGGGATCAGCGAGCTGACTTTTCACTTAGGGTGAACTTTTATCTCGTTATCGGTGGAAATGATTTCAGATCTCACTGTTCTGGGTTCACTTAAACATTTGAGGGTAAAGTTGATGGTGAGCTTTGCGACATGTTCACAGCGAACTCTAGCTCTGGCTCTCCCTCGCTCAGCTGGAGTCTGACCTGCCATCTTTGCCCTGCTGGCACGTGCTTAGAAAGCGAACAGTGAATCTGATACCGTATTTCAGCCAGACAAGTTGGCAGCGAATAGGGGCTTTGAGCACACCGCAACATGAATGTGCTTTTCCAATGGACCATGTAGCGCTGCTGATGCAGACAACGGGCTTAGACCAAACTGACCCACCGAAGGCTTTCCCTTCTGTGCCCTTGGTTTCTCAGAGGGGATGCTGCAAGCTGTAGGCCATGAAGTCTGACAATAACCCGAAAGAGAATGAGGGAGCTGGGAGGAATTTAGTAACTCGGTGTTTTTCACGTGAACTTCTTGTTTAAAGCGAATGCAGCCCTGAGGATTTGGCTACTGCATATAACAACAGGGGGCAGATCAAGTACTTGAGGGTTGATTTCTACGAAGCCATGGAGGACTACACGTCGGCCATAGGAGTCCAGCCCAATTTTGAAGTTCCCTATTACAACCGAGGGCTGATACTGTATAGGCTGGGTAAGACTCTTCTTCTCCTGGGGTCCTTAGTTGTACTGGCTGAATTGAGAGCTCCTGCATGTTGTAAAACGAATGTAATGATCGTTAAGTCTTGGAAGTGATGCCAAATTTAGGTCTGGAGCCTGGAACAGAGGGATCGTTCTGAGTTTATTTTAAGCTTCCAATAGGCATTATAGACCACAGCGGCACGCTGGGGTGGGAATTGGACGTGGGCGCGGAGAGGGAGGGCGACCCCATTACTTTGTGCCTGTAACATCCCCAAAGGCGAATGGAGGGTAATGCTGGTGATCACCTGCGAAAGTTTTCTGAGTTAAAATCTTTGAAGGCACACGAGACGAGGTAAAGTGAAGGAGTTTTAAATCCTTGGAATCAAGGTACTGGTTCTTATTGTAAAGGGTTAAAAAGAATATTTCCTGTTGCCTGATTTTACTGTAATTATCTAAAACAGGTGATATAACTTCATTGAGATTTCATGATGGTTTATGCTATTTACCTGTTAAATCTTAATAAGTAAAACCCCTAGCTAAATTGAAGTATTGTTCTAGAAGGGCAGACACAATTGTTTTGGTGTAGACATTCCTATATCATTATTAAGAGGAAAAATTTCTTCAGTAGAAGGGGTTGAAAGCTCATAAATATAAAAGCATGTGTATCCCAACTTTGCTGTGAATTATGTAAGAAAATACTCAGCTGTTTCTCTCTCCCATTTTTTTTTTTTTTTTGGATTCTGGTACAGGATACTTTGATGATGCCT